ATTCAAATTCCAAGTAGCGTCCTCGAGCCCGAAGCCCCAAGAACCTAAAGATGTCCAACAACCACGACGTCGGCTGCATCTGCCAGTCCTGCTACCCGACCAATTGCTGCGTTCCCGTCACGGTATGCCCCGCTTGTCCGCCCAAACCCTGTCAGTGTGAGCCCATTACTGTCCCGTGTGTTCCGCAGGCCTGCGTCTATGTCCCTGTCGTGACGCCATGCTGTCCTTGCATCCCTTGTGAAACGGGTAAATCCGCTGGTAACGGCGGAGCTTCCAGTTGCTCTTGCTCTCGATAGTTTCCCTGTAAGTCCATCACGATCCCGTAGGCCTGCGTCTATGTCCCAGTTCAACAGGAATGTCAGAATGGCGGATCAGCCAGTTGCCATCCGTTCTCGTAATGTTGTTTCATTGTACGTTTAAAATGACTGTTCTGTAACATTGTAATTAATAAAATAAAAGTGATGTACCTAGTAAATTTGTGTTTGAATCATTGGTAACAAAGCATCGAATTCTAAATGTTGTGTGGTTTACAGGCTTTGTATTGGGTGTAGCTGTGAGACCTTGAAGCAGAAAGCGTCGGTATGTCGCGTCGTCCCCCGGGAATGTTACGCCAGGATTTGTAATCTGACAGCGACGAAAAATTTGTCACTCGGCATCCGAGAGCATGCTGTGGGATGCCATGGCAGGAACCAATAATTCTTGAATTCCGGCATCCGACAGCATGCTGTGAGATCTTGAAGCAGAAAGCGTCGATATGTCGCGTCGTCCCCCGGGCATGTTACGCCAGGATTTGTAATCTGACAGCGACGAAAAATTTCTCACTCGGCTTCCGAGAGCATGCTGTGGGATGCCATGGCAGGAACCAATTCTTGAATTCCGGCATCCGACAGCATGCTGTGAGATCTTGAAGCAGAAAGTGTCGGTATGTCGCGTCGACCCCCGTGCATGTTACGCCAGGATTTGTAATCTGGCAGCGACGAGGAATTTCTCACCTTGGCATCCGAGAGCATGCTGTGGCATGCCATGACAGGAAGCCTCGGTATTTAGCAATTTCCCTCGTCTTATTGCGACGATATTTGTAACCACACGACTAGGATATGCGTAATAAAAAATTTAAAAATTTATAAAAAAGTTGAATTTTGAAATCTAAAAAAACGGATTTGAAAATTTGGAAAATAATTGGAAATTTGGAACATAATTTGAGAATTTTGAAAGAATAGAAATTTCAAAATTTGAAAAAATTCTGAAAATTAGAAAAAAAAATTGGAAAGAAATTCGAGTTCGAAAATTGAAACAAAATTTAATAATTTTAGAAAAAATGTGAATTCCTTTTTTTTTAAAAAAACCTATAAGTACGTTTGATGACGTTTTGAGACTGAACATTCAGAAAAGAATTATAGTTTAAAAAACTAAAAAATCAGCAGCAATCGAGCTGAAAAGTAGAAAATGGTTTTCAAAAAATTCAAATTTAGCATAAATGCAATTAGGTACACATTTTCGTAACAACTCCAATTTTGTAAATAGTAACTAAAAAAATTATTCTAACATTTGGCAACAAGCACCACATGCTTTTTCACTATGATTGAATTTTTTGAAAATTATTTTTTTGTCTTTAGTTTGATTTGCTATTACAGCGTGTTCTTTATTCCATTTATCATTAATATATTCTTGTAATTCTATAACCCTCAAGTATAAAATCAGGATGAAGGTCTCATTCTATAGTAATAAGGATTGTAAATAAAAAATAACTAAGCGATATCTGAAACACCTAACATATTCCCTATTACTCGTTCTAAACGTAAGACTTACAACTTGTGTAAATCAAAACAGCAATATTCCATTTTTTACAGCTTTCTGGTCTGTTTCCCAAGAAATTAGTCCACCAATAAAAAATAGCCAAGGTTTCACCATATTTTTGCGGAAATTGAAATGTTTTTTTTTTTCAGTAAATGTTTACTGAGGACAAAATAGTCTTGAAGTACTAAAAAAGATCAACCAACCCTATAAGCCAACGGCCCTGCCCCTACTCGGGAGTATCAACGTAGATTTCCTAACAGACGCCACCCTACCCCAAAGGTTTTTACTAATTTTTGTTTTTGTTTTTACGAAAACAATGCACTCTAGAACAAAAACAAGAGTAATCATTTGTAGCAAATTGAAGGTAGAATTCACGAAATTGTGCGTTTCGAAAGAAACCGCGTTCTATTTTTATTTGAAAAAATAATGCTACTAATCCCCTGAATCTCCGCCACTGGTGCACGTTAATTTCAAGTAAATGCTTTTGAATATGAATAATACTTAGGTAAATCTACATACCAAATTTTAGTTCGTTCCAGTTGACGGTCTTGAGGACATTAAAAAAATGTTTTTTATTTTTTTAGACTTCAACACCCCGTATCTTTTTAATGAAGCCCTAGAGGAAAGAATGTTACATAGAAGATCCCCTTAAAATGCGGTCCTGTGTATGATGTTTCATTTTTGGTCACGACTTGTGTGTGTCCGCTACAGCTTCAAATTTTAAATCATTGATATCGAAAAACGGTATCAGATATCACAGATATTCAAAAATAATGATTACGGTCACCTCTAACGTTGACTAGATAGAAAATCTTTTCAATGCTCTCCCCTGCCCCTGATGCGCTTCACAATGTTTAGAAGATATTTGGAAAAACATGTAAAATGAGTATCAAAATCGATTTATTAAGACATTTTTTTAACCATGTTCACACTGTCATTACATTGGATGTGCGTAAAAACCAAGTATTAATCAAGCACTGCGGTATCTTCAATCCTGCGTGCACCTCAATATATCAGCACTGAAAAAGAAAACATATTTCAGTAAAAAGTATATTACATACCTAATTGTTCCAATATATTAGAGGCTCCAGGAGTATTGAGAGGAATAATCTTTAGATCGCAAGTTTGTTGTAATAAAAATAATTTTTTATTCCCTCTATAACTGATTCACTATACTCCCTTGCATCTTGAACACTATAATTATGTAATGCTTTTGGTTTCTTTCTACATGCATAACAGTTTACCTAGGTTGTTTCAGTTTGTTTTTAGGGCGTAGGTACTGATATAAGTAACTGGTAAAAGACGAATCAATTTCGAATTCCGAAATTTTCAGAAAAAAGGCACAAATCAGAGCAACGTGCATATTTTGATTCTCTTGGAACGAGCACTATGAGTTCTATATAAGAAAAATATTACCCACCAAAATGGAAGAGATCATTCCTCATGGTACGCCACTGCGAGCGCGGTGTGTGTGTGTGTACGTGTGCACGGATCACAAATAGACACCCCACACCCCACGTTTAGCAGTGGCATATGATGCACCATGCACCGCGCTACTTTCATTTTGGTACTCGACTCTAGCAGAAGTTAACTTTACCAGGGTGGATATGAAATTATATAGCAAATCATCTTCAGATGATAGTACCTTGGGGGGGCAGCACGGAGGGCAGCATGGAGCGCAGGGCAGCACACATGGTACATATACACATGGTACGCAACACGGCAAACAGCAGGGCGACGGGCAGCAAGGCACGCAACAAGAAGGTGGACATGGCGAGCAACAAGGTGGGCAGCAAGACATCTTCGTTGATTGGTTTCTTCTTTCTTGGTTCAATTGGATTTAAACTAGAATTTCGAGAATAGCTGGGCCGAAATGTTGTGTCACACTCAAAATTTTGATCAACTTGTAATGTTTTGCATGTTGCCAGGGAGATATTTTATTTCTCATGGAGGACTTGAAACTGATATGTAACCGAAAATGATGTACAGTGGGATTAGAGATCTTGTCGAATTTCGAAATTCGTTTTCCCGCTCGAATTGAACACATTATTTTTCTCTACAATCGCAGGGGCTTACATTTTTTATACACGAACTACAACGAAAGTCAGATAATGATTGTAGAAGGAAGATAAACCAAAATATGTGTGTAAAAATAAAAAAAAATATTACCTTGTTTTATAAAGTATCCTCCCGACAAGTATTTCAGTGCGGACCTGTATTTGATCGTGCGGTCTTGGAGCGCCGGCATGCTCTCCCCTGTGAGGTCTTAAGTCACCTGATTCACGAGCCCTTTGTACTACATTAACAAAGGCACGAGGGGTTGGTTGCACTCGATTGGGAAACCGATCCGCATAAATCCGTGATGCCGCGTAAATAAGAATCATGTCCACAAGTTCAGCATTTTCGTAAACATGTGCCATTTTTGATTTCGTTTGAGCCACGCAACAGACACCACTATTCACTCACGCGTTACCGACTCACACTGACTGTATACAACTGAATAAAATAACTGTAAAAACATAGTTCCACATTCTTTCGCTTTTTTGTTTCCGATGCGATGAACCGATAAGGCGGATTATATCCGTTGTTGCCAAACACGAGCACATAATATTATTATTGAGACAGGGCGGTACTCAAACTTCCAAAGGGCTATAACTTTGTTAATTTTACCAGAAAAATGGTAAAGGAAAAAAACATTTCTTTTGATCAGATCTACTCACTGTTAAAATAAATGACTCTACTTCGAAGTCACCCTATATACAGGGTTATAGCCCTTTAGAAGTTTGAGTACCGCCCTGTCTCAATAATAATATTATGTGCTCGTGTTTGGCAACAACGGATATAATCCGCCTTATCGGTTCATCGCATCGGAAACAAAAAGGCGAAAGAATTTGAAACGCTTATCACGATGTTTTTACTACACCGAGTGTGGTTCTGGTTGGCCGTGAGTGAATATGGAAAATTTGAATGAAAATTCTGTCACTTAATGCCAATCAAAACCACAATCGCTCAAAAAATTGTGATTGGCATTTGAATTCACAAACGGATCCTGTTCTAGGAAAAATTCTGTAGACGGATTCCACAACGATCAATAGAAAAGGTCTTCGGCATGGAGATACAAAAAAAATTCTGAAGTATTCGTCTGAGTGGTCTATCGAAGAGTAATATTTTTAGAATGAAATCTTTCTGCACAATATGGCAACCGTGCTAGAACGTGCTTGACAGTTGACAGAGTCATGACAGTGTTTTGTCTTGTCGTTTTGTGCTATAGTGGTTTTGGTTTTGTGTTTTGTTTGTCATTTTGAAATTTCATGATTTTCCGCGATTTTCCGTTGTGTTTCCCGCGGAAAACTGTAATACGATTACGAGAGCTCTAAAAAGAAGCAAATAACCAGACAATCACGAAATCAGCTCAGTTTACTATCCTAATAAATCTTTAAGATGAGTGTCAGTGCAGCGTCAACAGTTGAAGAAGAAGTAGATGAATGTGGGCCCCAACCTATCGCTCGTCTGGAGGTAACATTGTCAAACAGTCATCTAGGCTCTTCCAACATTTTATCATTTTAGGGCAATGGTATCACGGCTGGGGATATCGCCAAACTCAAAGAATGTGGCTATCACACAATCGAGTCCATTGCTTTTGCCCCAAAGAAGCATTTAATCACTATCAAAGGCATTTCTGAGGCCAAAGCTGACAAGGTACTGAAAGAAGCCGGAAAGCTGGTGCCTATGGGCTTCACAACTGCCAGGGAGTTCCACCAAAAGAGATCAGAGATTATTCAATTGACTACAGGCTCAAAAGAACTAGATAAACTTTTAGGAGGGGGTATTGAAACAGGATCTATTACAGAGATCTTTGGTGAATTTAGAACTGGAAAGACCCAGATATGCCATACCTTGGCTGTTACTTGTCAGGTACAGTAACATAATCATTTACCTAAAATTATTTTGTAAAAAAATGTTATGAAGTTGAAAAGCTTAAAGATGCTTTTTATCTATGAGTCTAAAGACAGTGTTCAATTCAAACAGCCAAGTTACAAAATGAAAATGGAGGCCACACAAGTTTCATATAATAGTCAACTTAAATGAGGAAAAACAAAGCATAGATTCAAAATAATTGAAATAACCCAGAACAAGTATACCTACATTGGGGAATTTTATAGTACTTAATTAGAATTTTATTTTGTATTTGTGTGTAGAGTTATGGGAGAAAATTTGTTTGAAACTCATACAAAGAATTTAGTAAAGCTGTGAAAAATTTGCTGTCAACTGCTTTTTTCACCACTGACGAGTTCCTCAATCACAGCTCACTCCAATAGTTTTATCTGTAATGATATTTCATTCTACAATTTCTTTCTTTTTATTTGATCCATGTAGATTTGTATATTATTTATTGTAGTCTATCTCTTGTGAAATTTGTTTATTGATTGGACATAGTTTGTTATAATTTTATCTCATGTGCCTTTTATTGTTACCCTTTTTACCTATTGTGTGTGTATGATCTGCAGTTTTATATGTATTGTTTATCATTTTTTTTACTCTTGCTACTAAGCCTCAATTATGCTAATGACTTGTGTGAGCACGATTTGTGTACTAGAATAAGAATAAACCATTATTAATATTATAAAAATGTGCATCGCCCATACAAAATTGAGTGGCTATTTTAGAAACTTTCACAAAGATTCAACAATATTTTATATCCACACATCAAACTATAGACAGTCAACTTTGAATACTTTTATGTAATTTTGTAGTTACCTATTGAGAGTGGAGGTGGGGAAGGAAAATGTCTCTACATTGACACAGAGGGAACTTTTCGCCCTGAGAGGCTATTAGCAGTAGCAGAAAGATACCAGATGAATGGACAAGATGTTTTAGACAATGTAGCTTATGCTAGAGCTTACAATACTGATCATCAGACTGAGCTACTTATACAGGCATCAGCTATGATGTCTGATGCTAGGTAAATGAAAAAATTACTTTAGCTTTTGAATCAACAACTATTTCAATATTCACTTTATTAATTGTAATGGAGCTATTTCAATGATTAAGTCACTTTTTATAAACAATGCCTAATAAATAGTAGCATGACCTTTTCACTATATTTTAAGTCTGGAAGTTACACATTTTTAAAAAGGAAGAAATAGTACTGGGTGTCCAATTATAAGCTGACCTTTTTATATAACCTTCTAGAAGAAAAAGTTGTATATAAAAGTTATAGGCTCTAATATGAAGTTTTTCATCGATATTTTTTTGTACACTGGGTGTCACAGAAAAGAGTTGTGGAATAAAGTTGTATTTTCTTAAATTGAACATCCTGTATTTCTAGTGAAAATTGTAGTCCCTTTTTACACATTTGTTGAACCTGTTTGGTAAATTTAAGTTTACAGCATGCTTTTGTTTAAGCTTTCTGTTTTTAGGTACGCATTATTGGTAGTGGATAGTGCTATGGCCCTGTACAGGACAGATTACTCAGGCAGAGGTGAATTATCAGCTAGACAAATGCACTTGGCAAGGTTTCTTAGGATGCTGTTACAGCTAGCTGATGTGGTGAGTTGTATTTAACTGTAAACTAAATGGTTTGATTTTCAACATGGCCAAATGCATTCAATTAATATGAGGATTAGTGAAGACTTTTATATACCACCTTATAGAACTCAAATTATGTGTAAGTCCCCAAATATTAATGTTCATAAACGTTTAACCTACAGCCTTTGGAAATAAAGAATTGCTACAGTCTAACGACATTTAAGAATCTCTTAAAAGACTATTTAATTGAAAATAGCTTTTATAGTGTGGAAGAATATTGTGCATATGCTGTTAAATCTTATTTTTACTATTTGACTGTTTTTTTTTAGATATAGATTTTTTCAGATTTGACAATGTATGACAATTCCTATACAATATTTTTTTTGTCGAGAGGAAATAAATAAATGAATAAATTACGAATCTGATATCAACTTTATGCTAGAGTTAATATTAGAGATACAAAGGATATTCGGTTACTATCCAGTATCTGGCTATAACTTGTTGTCTGGCTAGATACCAAATGCTAGCTTAGATATGGCGAAAGCCCGATAATAATAAAAAACTGCATTGGTCGATTCTGGTAATAGATGGCAAACAGTATCACTAAGCAGTCTGTGCTTCTCAATATAACACAAAATTGCATCACTACCGATTTAAAGGATCTGTATTCAAAATTCTACAAAACTATTATAGCCAGAAGTCAATATATTTCTGTTGGTATATAACAAGGTAGTAAACTAGGTCCACTACTATTTATTTTATACATTAATGACATTTGTAATATTTTAGATTATTGTAAAATTCAGATATTTGCAGATGATTCATTAATATACATATCAGATTAAAATTGCCAAATAAACAAATTACTTTTCTAGGGCTTCTCATAGTCTTGGTACATATTCCAAGAAAATAGTTTATAATACAATTATTCTACCACATTTACTATATTGTTCAACTATCTTGTTCACTGAAAATGAAGCTGTCTTCTCAAAACTACAAGTCCTGCAAAATAAAGCTATGAGAATAATATTGAATAAAAATAAGTAACATCTATGTTACAAGAATTGCAGTGGTTGAATATAAAAAATTTCATATCATATTTGGTTCTTATTTTTATATTCAAAATAAAACATCATCTTTTGCCACAACATTTAGAACACTATATAGAATTGAATAGTCATTACCATAATTATTATACAAGAGGAAATATAGATTTTCATTTACAAAATTGCAATAGTAATATAACTAGCAAATCAATATCTCAGAAAGGGTTACTTGAAATTTAATATATTAAATAATGATATAAAGTCTACTTGAAACTTAAATGTTTAAAAGAAAATTAAAGGAATATTTCATGGACAGTGAAAATTCTTGGAGATGCTAATTTTGCTTTTTTCTAAATATCTGTATGTTATGTAATTGTTTAGTTGTTTAGAAGAATGTAATTCTAGCAATCATGCTAAATAAATCTTAAAAAACAAATAACAAACTACATCAAAGATAAAGTAGAATGACAAATAAGATGTTTTTTGTGTATGAAAAAAGGAACCTACCTAATTGTTTGAGATCAAAGTAAATTATAGAGTTTTTATTATAGCATTAAGTTCCCTGGGTACATTAAAGACGACGATGGGTTAGTTTTCGTCAAATGAGGCAGACCTAAGGCACCAGACTTCAACAGCCTGTATCTCCAGTAGAAAGCTTTTCTAGGCTTTGCGCCCATTGGCACATTTGATCAGTACAAAATGAAGTCTCTACATGAATTATTTTCAAAATTGAATGATGGTCGAATTTCATGCTTTGTGCTGGTGAAGTTATTTCCACTGATCGTTCTTTCAGTTTGGCATAGCGGTAGTGATCACCAACCAAGTAGTAGCTCAAGTTGACGGCGCTGCAATGTTCAATGCCGACCCCAAGAAGCCCATCGGTGGTAACATCATGGCTCACGCGTCCACCACCCGGTTGTACCTGCGCAAAGGCAGGGGGGAGACCAGGATGTGCAAAATATACGACTCCCCTTGCCTTCCAGAATCAGAAGCTATGTTTGCTATCAATCCCGATGGTATCGGTGATGCTAAGGAGTAATCTTTTAGGTTCTGTAATGTGTCATGCAACTGGTATTGCAACGGTTAGGTTTAGGTGGTATACAGTTGTTTTGGTATGTGTGAATAAGTTCGTTTTTATCGTATGTATAAAATTTATATTGTTTTCCTTTCACGTCAATACATATTAAGAATATATGGAGTAATTCACAATGAGATGATTGCAAAGTTCGTTAGTACGCATCATCCATGAAACTTATTTTTGAAAATAAAAATGTAGAGCTTATAATTTTGATTATTAAAATTACGATATTTAGATTATATAATTGAGTTGAATATATTTTTACTGTACAAATTTAGTTTTTTCAATGTAATTTCTGAATCTTACTACCAACCCCAGAAGTCATCATTTTACAATGTCATGTTCATGGAGCCTGTATACCAGGAGAACCGACAAAATAAGAAAAAAATTATCCCAAAACTTATTTCGTATTCTTTTGTTTGAATCTGCAGGCAAGTTTTTTTTGTTTAAAACTCAATTTAAATGAATGATAAATAATAGTAAAACAGATTACAGAAGCGTTGCCTGGCAAACACATTATGATTCATAAAGATCAAGTTTTATTAAAAAAACATACCTGCAGGTTCAAGCAGTGGGATCTCTTAGAAAAGTGTTTCTGTTAAATCTGTTAAAGCACAGCGATGCCAGATGGCTAGCACAGAATTGCCCGCGAACAAGCACAAAACTACCCGAGAATTGCTATTTTTAAAAAACCCCCAAATCGCAGTAAATTAATGGAAAGGGGTATGTTTGGATCAAAGCGCGGGAGCGCGAGACGTGTGATTTTCGCCAGAACATTACGTCCCCAAAAAATTCCCCAAGTCTGGGGGAAAATCCTACAACATAGCAACCCTGTCAAAGCATCGGTGATACCCCAGGCGTCAAGTTCAAATGTATAAAGTTTATATTGTTTTATTTTGATATTTAGTTTACATAATTGATTCAAATACATTCTTTGTGGTTAAAATTTTCTGGTCTCGTATCTCAGAACTAACTCACTTTTTACTCCATTTCTTTGGTGAACAGAAGTTTTTTCTATATAATAAAAAATTGAGACACGTTTGTACATCTGTCGTAAATGCTAAAGATCAGGGTAAATAATGAAAATCCTATTAAACACGTAAAAAATATATTTTCATATTCATACAACAATTCCAATAAAAAATACAATAAAGACCATTACACGTTTTACCCATACATAAAAACCACAAATTAAGACTTAAAATTGAAACAGAACAGGAGAACTATTTTATAAGTTCATCCATGAGCTCCAGAATGAATATCACAGATTGACATAACATGACACGTAAACTCGAATTTTTAATAAAAAAGCTGGTGGAATGTGGAAATCCAATAAAGAACGCAAAAAAATATTTAAAAAAGTATTCTTGAATTGTCTTGTCAAATCTTGGCCCATGGAGTATTTTGGTAAAAAAAGAAGTATTCTACAATTTGGCATTGGCTTTCAATAGGGGTTGCAACTTTTGAGCCAGCATAATGTTGCCAGTAATCTTCAGTTTCCCCTTCATGAATGCCTGTTGGGGGTTCAGTTTACCCTCTGCTAGTAAGATGAAATCTTCATCAGCAACTGTCAATGTTGTGTTAGCCTTTGACGTTGGTTCGCCTTCGTATACCTCTCCCTTATTCAAATCCATCGCTGAAAGATAATATTAACGGTAACTTTTGTCGTGAATTTTCAAGTCTAAAAATCACACTGAATTTTTATTCGAATTTCAATCGCCTTGAATATATGCAAATTCTGCAAAAAGCTGTCACGCGCATTTGTGTCACTTGATGGACAATGTGTGGTAAACGGTTCAAACAATGAATTCATACTAGGTAAAAGGAACAAGCCAACGATTTGTTTGTATCCAAAATATGATGGTTGTAGTCAGGATGAAAATGCATACTACAAGGAGTCAGCTTTTTTACAGTTTTATCATTAAATTTGTATTTTTATTGTTCACTTTTAAATGCGCGAGTGTTTGCAGGTAAATGTTTCAGAACATGGTACTTCTTGCATAATTTCCATAGTGCGACACAAGCCTAATGAAGGTCGATCTTTCCACTAGTAGGTATTTATTACATGTTGGGTATAACGTTGACATTTTGGTAGGCAATGGTAGTCAACCGAGTCAAAAGTATCAACCAAAACTACGCAATTTTGTCGTCAAGCAACGTAACAATGTAAAAGTATAGGCTTGACTCCTAATGTATTTGAATTGGGTTGAGTTTAAATAGTAGGTGTAGAGCCAAAAACACGCAAGAAGTATGTGGACATTAATTGTTTTGATACATGAAACCTGATAGATACAATGTACGCGTTATATTTATAAAAATATTGTATGGCCTTGATAACGCAGCAGACATTACAAATTAATGGCGATATTTTAATAGCTACATACAATGAGATAAGTTCATTATGTTCTGTCTAATCAGTCAATTATAAGCATTCCAACGTCTTTAAATTGATATTATAAAGGGTGTCTTAAAAAGAGCGCCGGATTTGAATTGATGCGGATTGCTCGAAGAAAGTCATTTTCTCTGATGAGGCACATCTTCAACTGAACGGGTACGTCAATAAGCAGAACTGCGGAATTTGGGGTATTGACGAAATAGAGCCACAGATGTTCGAAAACGTTATCCAGAATTTCAAGAAAAGACTGACCCTGTGCCAGAGGTTTCGTGGGGGCCATTTACCGGATGTATGTTTAATCGCAACTATTCCTCTTCATGTTGAATATAAATACCCACTTCATTCGAAAAAAAATGTGTTTTTCTTGAAAATCAAATCGGGAGCTCTCATTTAGACACCCTTAAGTAAGACATCCAAATATGAGTTTCACTAACAAAACACAAAAGCAGCTATAATAAAACTTTCAAATATCTACTTACTCCAACATTTGGCTTCCTTCTTGTCTTTGGTGATCTTATACAGGAACACACCACCAATGGATTTGGCCTTCTGTGGGTTCTTCTTCACTTCTTCGATGATGAATTCGAAGATCGCGTCGCTCTTCAAGCTCTGGCTGCTAGGTTTGCTAGGCATTGTGATGCTGACGGATTTTAGATCGACGTAGGCACCTGCAAATAAGAATTTTGAGTTAATACTGCTACTTTTAAAAATAACTAATAACACATATACTTTGAAATTTATATTACAGTGCCTACAGCTTAATTGACCTGTTGAATTGTGACATATGAGGTGTCTCTAGATTTGTTCTGAAACGTGAGTAACACTAGGGGTATATTAAAATTTTATAATAACTGAATAACAGATTTTTAGCTCAAATTTCAACTTTGAAATTTGTTCTTTACGAGCTGCAGTTTAAACGGCAATTTCAACATCTGAGACATTCGGAGCGGAAATGGATAAGGTCCGACGCGGAATTTGCATCGTACAATTTCTATTTTAAATACTCCAGCCCAAATGACTTTATGGATTTTGACGTTTGCTAATATACTGATAATATTTGAAACCACTTATACCTGATCCTTTTCCGAATGTACCATCCTTCTTTACCGGCTGAATTAACAGATTTTGTAACTTATTCATATTTACAACAAAAAACCTTATTATTTCCACAGGGTATAATTATCTTTTCACCAGCTAACAACATCAAAACTAAAACATTACTGTTTATCTCTAGTTCATTCAAAATAATGGAACAAACCTCGTGACCATAACATCGGTGAATTTCACAGCCAATTATTGCTTGATAACGGGCAGTATCGCAACCAGCGGCGGATCCATTGATGGTGTTCTCTAATTTGCAAATGTCTCTCTTCAGTCAGTTTTAGATTGAAAACTAACGGTGATTACCGTACCCCCTTGAGAAGCAAAATTTGAATTCATCCTACTGCAGGACAATTTCAAATTATTGCGTATCTGCAACCTCGACGGAAACCCATTCTATGGGTAAATCTTGTAAGTAGATCTCGAATATTATTAGTTTTCGACGAGATTGACGGGGCACCGCAAAAACTTTGTTTCCCTATTCAAAACAAGGCTTTGTGACTCTTTCATGGCAGTACTCAAGTCAGCATTCCAAATTATCTGTGTATCAAGTTTCAATTGCTTGCAGCAACAGGGCCGAAAATAGAAATGTAACATCACGATTTTAGAGGCAATTTAAATTTTCAATGATATTGATCAAATCCCACCTCTGTGGTAAATCAGTTGCTTAGGGCTGTATCGTCAGTCATTCCTACAATTGTAGGCTGCCTTTATGGCCTCCTTGATGACGATACGGCCCCTAGATTACAAATCAGTTTGGACTGTCTCAATTCACCAACAAAACAAAACTTATATTTTCAAATGAGAAATATAATAATAATAATAAATGTCTTTATTAGCAGTACAACAATAGGGTGAAGTTTAGCCAGTTGGCTACTCTTACACCCAACCCTATTGTGTGCTTAAATATGTTTATACAATTCATAGTCACATATGTACATGCAATCTAAAAATAAATACATCGATATGGCTTTCAACTAAGTGCGCTAATACTAAAGGGAAAAAATATGTACAATCAATTGATAAATCCGCGCTATGTTGGTTTACCAAAAAGGAAACAGTCAAGAACCAATACTGAACGGATGACAAACACAAAAAAACAAAGATAATAACAACTACATAATTATGATACATCCAACAGCTGATTTTTAACCAGCTTCTTGAATGTTACTACACTTTTGCTTCTCCAGGCAGGGTCGGTTGATTTGTATAACCTCACAGCATTGAAAGTGAAACATTTTTGAAACAATGAGGTGTAGTGCAAGGGCATTGTCAGATTATTATTATGCCTCAGATCTCTGAGATTAATGATTCCTCTAGTTACCAATTTACTATGGAGGTAGATGGGCTTTTCAGTACACAATATCTTATGCACAAACTTAAGACTATAATCAAATTGTTGATCCATTTTCAGCCATTTCAACTCCTTGATCTTAGAGGAGACCATGACTATATTTTCTAAGACGATACACAAACCTACAGCAGTTGTTTTGCATTCTTTGGATCCTACACTGATTCATCGAGTCAAGACAAGGATAGTATAAGGTTAAAGCGTAGTTGAGGCTGGACATTATCAAACTCTCACCTAGCTTCTTACGCGTTTTAAAGTTCAAAATGAATCTATTAGCATATAGCAGTCATAATTTGATGTAGGTGGACTTCGATAGATGACACACCTGTTTGTCAAATCTTAAACTAGAGTCGAAGGTGACACCAAGATTTTTTGCTTGTTCCACAATAGGAATGAGCTCGTTGTTGAGATGCTCAATGCAATTCTGTCCCTTACTCTATTATGCAAATGTTTGGGATAAAAAAGTATGCGAGTACTCTTATCCGGATTAATCTTCAACATGTGTCTTTTACAAAAATCAGTGATGTTGGCAAGATCACAATTTATCTTATATGACACTTCATCCAGATGAGACAAGTCAAAATGAAAAGAAAGCTGCGTATCATCCGCGTAAGTTTGTATAGCACAAAGTTCAATACATGAATGTAAATCGAAAGTATATATCAAATACAGAAAAGGACCTAAGACAGAGCCCTGAGGGACACCTGAAGAAACGGCAACAGAAGATGAGACACCTCTAACTGTCTTCACCTTTTCTTTACGATTAGTTAAGTAATTTTCAAAAAATTTAAGTGGAATGTCAGAAAGTCCAATATACTTTGACTTACTCAACAAAATTTTATGGTTAACAGTGTCGAATGCCTTAGAGAAGTTGACCATAACTAACACTGTATTAATATGTTTATCCATATTATTTAAGATATTGTCTGTCAAATGGAGAAGTGAAGAAGTTGTACTGTGTCCAGCACGAAATCCAGACTGATTTACAGGAAGTAAATTATACATCTCTAAATATTCAATTAGTTGGAATATCGGATTATTTTTTAGAACAAGAAAAAAGTTTTAAGCTGATATTTATTGTTTTATTCAAATAGTAATATTTTTATTGCAAGTTTTTATATTCCCTTTTCTATTAGTTTTTGCAAAATATTCGCACGAGTTTTGCGGATGCGCATAACCAGACACGTGCGAATACGAATATTCCTTACATCAATAGGGACCATCTGGATGTGCAAAAAAATATAGGAGAATCCCTTTAAAAATGAACAGATTCTCACATTTTTTATACATCAGGATGTTTCATATCTTGTTACATACTTGTATAGATCTTCTCATAAGAAGGAGATTGATGTAACACATGGCATTTTGGAAAACTGCAATTATACAATAATGTCAACCATTTACTAAGAAGTGTCTACTCACTTTTTTCTAGATGATTATGATCAAGTTGTATAAAACGTTTGTCAGAAACCAAAACTATGTAGGTTTGCTATTTTTAATGAATTATATGACGACAAATAAAAAAATGCAGCCAACCTAAAACAACTCATTAAAATAAAGGAGATTTGCCATGTCATGAGTTCAAAAAAACAGTACATATGTTGGAATGTTATGTCATTAGCCAGTTTTTCTCAAACTAAAGCACATTGGATGAAATGCTATTAAGGCACAGGGTTTTTTTGATCAAAATTCATGTTCCAGTCCTAGACACCCTCCTTGTAAATGCAACATTACCTATTCTAGATACCATCTGTCCATTTATAATTGAATCTGACTTTGTAATGTAGAGCAATCAATACGTTCTAGTGAATAATATATAGCATTATTCATTGATCTTATATTCTCATTAGCTTTCACAATTTATAGGCTATATGAAGCGCCTGTTCAACAATACAGATAAGACTAAACTGCTGAATAAGATGATATTGCATTTAAATTATATCTAATAATATTGTCATTATCAGCGCTTTTTGCTAGATAATAACATAACAGATAAATAAGTTAAAAATAATATTTATATATAATTACAGTAACTGATAAGATCTTTGTTTCTCATCATACCAAAACCATAAATTATAGTAGATGATAATTTAAATTATGGTAGAAGCTATGTGGATCACTTACCTACTGTCAAAATTCAAAAAGAGTGACTTTAGAAAAATACTTTCTTATTGAATGGTTCAGTTCGTCAAGCGACACACCAGTTATTTGCTAATTACGATAGGTAAATAATTATAAGTATATATAATTATAAGTATATATAATTATAAGTATATATAAAGAAATTTACTGTGTGTCTGAACCTCCAATCACCTAACCTCAAATGAATATGATAATAGATGACGTTTATGACGTCACAGAGTTGTTCCATTGATGTTCCTAGCAAAAATTTCAATTGGATAAAATGCTTTATATGATTATAATAAATTCAGACGGTTATACTCGTAATAATTTGGCCTCAATCAGATTTTTAATAGGATACTTTTTTGCATAATAGTTCAAATAAATTATCATGGAGGTGAAAAGGTTAATTAAACGAACCAACATCCCACGACTGCAATGTTGCCAATATTTGTGTTCGAATTACTATGCATACAGTAATGTCAACTTTACATTAACATAAACAGATGACCAAGCAGGAAATTGAACTATTAATTTAATTATCAAATACACATTAAATAAAAGAAAAAAAACTCACCTAATATTGACCCCAAGAATCCTAAATTTGAGCTACTTGTGTTGGATTTTTATCAGACCGAATGTGAACTGTTTTAAAGCAGTACTTATACCTTGAGTATTAACTTAAAACTGATGAATGCCGGCAATTTTATAAATTGTGCGAGTGGTGCAAAGTACAATTAGGTACGTCAGAAGCACTTGATTATTCTCCGAGAGCTTCACACTCGAAATTCATTAATAGTCCAGGCAGTATCTTCACATCTGAAGGAAAAAATATTCTGATTCGAGTTTTTGCATAATCTTATTAAAAATGAGCCATTTAAGCGAATCTTCATGTTGCCAGTTCCGTAATTTGCGCTAAGTTTTAAATATTTTGTTTAAACAAGTTCCAAAAAGTGATATCTTTTTGATATAGTAGAGGTGTATTTAGGTTCCTTAGGACATTCTAAATAAAAAAGGTAGTTTAGAACTTTCTCTAAAGTTGATAGTTTTCGAGATATAAGTGATATAATCTTTGAAAAATGCGAAATATGCCATTTTCGACGGAAAAATAATAGGAAGATATGAAAATTTTAATGAATGAATCAATGTTTATTTAAAATATAAATTCCTTGATACCTCATAAATAATAGTTTAAAAAACTAAAAAAAACACGCTTTTATAGCTAACCGCTAAAAAGTAGAAAATAATTTTTGATTACAGTAGTAGATGGTCGAACAATCAATCATAATTAATGACCTCAAAATAAAATTACAAATAAATTTAAGTTATTAACAGTAAAAAGGGTGGGACTGAGTAAGACTTAAAAAAAGGTTTACAATGACAACATCTCCTAAAATCTTTGGAACTTTGTAAATAGATATTTAAAGATAAACTTAGTAAGTTTAGCAACATTATTTTTGTTTTTTCGTATTGTTTTTCGTGTTCAACAATAGTATATTTTGCACTTATTCGAATATATTATCACTTATATCTTGAAAACTATTAACATTAGAGAATAGTTCTAAAGCATATTTTTTGTTGAGAATGTCCCGAAAGGCTAGAAAACAGACCGAGACGAAAACATAATTTTTGGAATTTGTTAAAAAAGTTTTGGACATTTTTTTTGCCTTGCAGAGGTATTTTTTAAATAAGAAAAATCCGAATCATGATACCTTTACCATCAGAGCGTTTATACTACCTGGACTATAAAAATCGCACCGCGTGAATTTGAATATCCAATCAGAGCTTTATAATTTACAAGAACCTATCTCAACTGTGAACTTATAAGGAAGGGTGGGGTGTATACTTGTTTTCAAAGTGCACCAATATATTTTAAAAATGTAAAATAAAAAATCTGGAGATGCATTAAAACGCAATTTTATGCTTACCTGCGATGACAACAGTGTTTGTTTCAACAGCAATAGTCTCGAAATGTATTCTGTTGTCCTCTCTCCACATGTCAACTCTGAGTGTCTGTCCTGGCAAGACTGGCTTGACAAATCTGGCCTAGTTTAAAACAATTTACATGTAATAAAATGTAATGCGGTTATACAGACAATCAAGATCCAGTAAACATTCAAGAAAAATAGTTTTTATGCGTGAACTATAAAAATATTTATTGCCAACTGCCGAACGCGCGTATCGAATACCGTGTCACTAACGATTATTTAAACATAACTGAAACAAGATGCATGCTTTGTAATACAATATGAAATGAAAATAAGAGCTTTTTGTAGGGTGTACCAATCTTAAACGTAAATCTAGGAACGATCGATGACAATATCAAAATAAAAATGTAACGGAAACGTTTCAACTGTCAAAACTCACAAATTAAATTATTACTAATTCATGACTACGTCGATTGGACTATCGTGTTTCGCGCTGTTGACTCATCATCCGCTTTCGGTCGACTTTCTCTGCCCTCTAATCGTGTATTTATCTTCAAATCGACGAATCCAGAACGTTCCCACGGTTTCCAGGCCGAACTCGAGCCTTCATCGAAGCTTGGTAGATGGCAGTTGATACTTCTCGATGAGTGGCGATTGTTCGCGATGGGCGGTCGCGTTACGAGGGTGTCTGATTGTTACTCAAAGTTCTAGTTACGAGGGCGTTACAATAATAACCACATTGCGATGTTTAGTAACTCTAAGCATTTATACCTTCAAGAGCATCACAAAAGAAAACAAAAAAAAAATGTTGTTGCCTTACCTTGCACGCCGTGAATAAGGAAGCATTGTGCCCAGCAAAAGCAGATAGCACTATTCTGACAGAAAATCCTAAAGTGCACAGTCCATGCAAAATCGGTCTGTCATATCCACTGACAGCGGCAAATGATGGATCTATGTGAAGTGGATTTCTGTCTCCTAAAATATGATTAGTTTCCATAACAAACTAAATTGACTCCGTGGACTTTACGAAAAACCATGTTGTAGTAGTAGTAATAACATCTTGCGTACAAGAAATAAACTAAGCAAATACCGTAAATGTCATAGTACTGAAGAAAACGGAGACATTTACAAAAAAATAATCCAAAACAGGTAACTGATTCCGGCCAAAATACGCTGTACCCTTGACTACTGAAGATTTGTTAATTTTTTGGAGTACATATTAGCAAAATAATACAGGGTGTTTCAGTTTATTGTTGCATAACTTTAAGATTCGATAGAACTTTAAAAAATTTTCGTAATGGTTAGCCGTTTTTGAGATATTTCGATTTTTAAGGTTCGATGCATTTTTAATTATTTATGGGAAAATAATATTTTTTTTACATTATCGATTTGGGCATTACAAGTAATTAAGATGATCGTTTAGATTATGTTTTTAAACATAGCAATAATTCCTAACTCCAAATAAACACAAAAAAACAGAATATTAATTTGTTTAATTTTCCAATATTATTTTTAACAAATTAAATTAATTATTCACAACTAAAATGCTATTGGATAGTTAGGACAAACATACAATATCTAAAGTAGTTGCTCGAAATGTAAACCCAATTGTTCAATACACAATTCACATCTACGAATGATCGAACGTGGCATTATTCAAATAAGGCCTTATTTCATCACATGCATTCCTGATTCTGTCTATTAGCATATCTCTTGTGGTTACGGGGGTCTGGTACACTTTTTCTTTTAGAAATCTCCACACAAAGAAATCTAATGGATTTAGGTCAGGGGATCGTGGAGGGCAGGCGACTGGTCCTCCACGGCCGATCCATCTTTCTGGATAATTTTCGTCCAGCCAGTTTCTAACTATTCTCTAATAATGAGCTGGACAACCATCAAGCTGGAACCAGGCCAATCTTCTTAAATCTAACATAACATCATCCCACATATTTGTATGTTCAGCCTTTAAAAATTCCAAGAAGGTCGCAGCATTTAACCTTGCAGGCAAAAAGTAGGGTCCAAATAGTCGATTACGGTAGATACCAATCCACACGTTCACACTAAATTCATTCTGAAAATTTCTTTCTCGAACTGCATGCAGATTTTCATGCGACCAAATATGTTGATTTTTATAAAACTTACAAAAAAAAAACAGGTAAAAGAAACTAAATTTCGTGCATTCACGATTGCAAAACAAAAGTTTCAGGTTTCAACAGACAACAAAACTAACTGTCCACTAATTGACGTTTAACCTTATTCTGCTTTCAATTTCAAAAATATTTGCAGGCAGAGCGTACTTCTAAAAATTATCGAGATACTGACTTTTTAACGTTATTTTATCATAAATAAGTAAAAATGCATCGAACCTTAAAAATCGAAATATCTCAAAAACGGCTAACTATAACGAGAATTCACAAGAGAGCTTTTTTATGTTGAAAAGTGCGAAGAATCAGTTTTTTTATTCAAAAAGCAAAAAATTGCACTAAGAAAAAAATTTCGGTCATTTTAATACATTACAGGTACAGTAGAGAGCGCCCTCTAGCGGTTACAGTAAAACTATGCCCATGGTTCGTTTTTTCGTAGCAAAAAACCCTTGTATACCAATTTTCACTGTTATATATCAAATATTGTTCGAAATATTTAAAAAAAACTATTTTAGAAAGTAAATTTAAACACCCTGAATTTCGGAAACAACGCATTTTTCGACCCATGTTTATATAGACTTTATGCATTAATTTTAAAAGTTCTATCGAATCTTAAAGTTATGCAACAATAAACTGAAACACCCTGTATAAGATCAGACCTTGCGCATTCCATGTTCAATTCTATGTTGTGTTTCTTGCGTTGACCGAGTAATTACCGTGCCGAGTAATTTAGCACTCGGCACCGAATACAAACCGAATGCATTCTTAATGCAGTGAGAAACACCAAATTGTCGATATCAGATTTTTTAATTGAAATAAAGCATATTTGAAATCCACATAATCGTACCTGACAGTCTGTATAATGCAGCTTGATCAATGCTAGTCTTTTGTGTCAGTGAAACATCAGGATTCCTGTTTGGCTTCGGTTGACAGCTTATAGTTTTAGTACCTGTTCTTGGACCACCGAAGTTGCCAGCTTTAACGGCAAAAGTCACACATTGGTTTCTCAATACGAGTTGTCCGTTTTCATCATAAGATTCGGCTGAAAATCAACAAAAACGTTGGCGTAAACCAAGAAGAATTCATCTTAATGAACCTACCATCAATAACGACCACAGCGCCAGTTCCTTTGTCCAACACTTCGACGACTTTCGTTTTTGTTGTAAGTTTCCCTTCTAAGGGAATTTCGCCCAGGAATTCGATGTAATGTTCGCCATGTAACACCTGTTCCAGAGAGATGGTTTTTCCTGGGATTACGTTCTCAATGCTGGAAGCAAAGACGGCCTGCATGGCAGGTATAATGTAGAAGGTTGGAAGAATGTTGTAGTTTTCATGGTACTCGTATAGGTATTGAAGCTCTTGAGGATTCGCCACTGATGCACCAACTGTAAAAAAGCATAAGAAGATTGCACGAAAGATATTTCCATGTTCCGTCCCAAATGATCCTATGCATTGAAAAACATTGACGTTCAAAGACATACTAGAAGAGTGATTTCAAAAACTGTTGCGGAACTGGAATCCAGGCCCCTGCAGTAAATCGCGGAACATGAAGCCAATGCCAGTTTTTCGCTAAAATCAACGGAAATTTCAAAAAGCATGGTTTTTCTACTCCAAATAGGGCAATGAATTGGGTTGCGCTGGTTTGTAACGAGAAAGTGATATGAAATATTGCTTTAAAGTCTAAATGCATATTATCGGGGAAATATTTCGAAAATCCTTGTGTAACTTCAGTCCTGACAAATCCAGCCCCTTGAATAAAAGTTACATTTTCCTAATCTTAAAAGGGCTTCATGACATTTCATCATACCATATTTGCATTCAGCGTTCCAAATTTCCCTAAGGGAAATTTCAAAGATTAAAAGCCTACTACTGACGAGAAAGACACATACCTTAAGTACTACAACAATTATAGAACTCATAATGACATTTTAGTATAAGTAAAATAGAGATTTATTTAGCACGTTTGGCTACATAAACAGAATAATTATAAACAACTTAGTAAATTCAAGCCATATGATGTAAATAGATAGATAGATAGATAGTAGCTTTATTGTCCAACAATGGCCCATTAACAGAACAATATTATACAAAATCCATACAAAAGATACAGAACAAACTATATAACAAAACAAAAATATCTCATGTATATCCTTGATCTACGTATGTATTAGCTATCCTAACTAATTCTTTGTTAGAAGTAAAAAATATGTCACAGAGCACAGATTCAATTGAAATTTTTAATCACATTAAAAGCTTAAACAAAAATATCAATGTCGCGCAAGTTCTACGCTGCTCCAGAGATATAAGGTCAACACGACTGTATAACTCGGTATTGGTAACACCCCTTTCTGGGTAAATTCCATCAATTTTATAAACTAAGAACTTAGAAAATCTTCTCTGTACTTTCTCCAAATAACTCCTTTGGCACTCATAAACGGGATTCAAAACTATGCAAGCATACTCCAGTTTAGACCTCACAAAACCAAACTACAGTAGCTTAATGGTTCTTATGTTATGGAAATGCCTACAGTTTCTAACAACAAATCCATATAACTGTATAGATTGTGAAACTAATGCTTCAATATGTTTACCAAATGTCAACTTGTAATCAAAAATCACACCTAAATCCTTAATTTCGGTACAACGCTCCAGAGATCGCCTATTTAACAGGTAAATAAAGTGATAGGTAGTTTTCCTCCTAGAATAACTCATAATTTTACATTTGGGTACATTAAGAAATAACTCATTGGTATCACACCAGTGCTCGAGGATGTCCAATTGAGTCTGAAGGAAAGTACAATCATTCAAATCATTGATAACGGAATATATTTTCAAATCATCCGCAAAAACATAAACGCTCACTCTGCAAATCTTCACATAAATCATTGATGAATAGCAAGAACAGCAAAGGACCCAAATTTGAATCTTGCGGAACACCGGATGAGGCTACGTAAGTATCAGAATGAAAATTATTATAAGAAACAAATTGCCACCTCGAAGATAAATAAGATTCAAAAAGGTCCCTAGCATCACTAGAAAAACCAAATTTGATTAACTTTCCAAGCAATACATCATGATTTATCCGATCGAAGGCCTTCGAGAAGTCCGTGTAGATGGCGTCGACTTGACTATTGTTGTCCAATGCCTCCGAAACAAGTTATGGTAACTAGATTTGTAGCAGTTGAACGGTTTTTAATAAATCCGTGTTGATGTTGTGAGAGTTGATTAAGCGCCAAACTATAAATACGATTGTAAAGTATTATCTCAAAGACCTTGTCTCGTATATTTTATCAAGGACAGCATTAACTTCAGAGGCAAATAATACGCTCCAGTCAGTTTCATACAGTTCTCTGTAAAGAGAAGGAAAATCAGCTTTTCTGAAGTTGTAAACACGTTCACTTGAATTGAATTCGATTTTAGCTTCTTTGGCAAATAGATCAATTATACAGATATTCAAAGCAGGGTGATGTTTGTCTTCCGAAACCAAAGGCGTAACATCATGAGTGACCTCACAAGTAAAACGTGTAATTACCAAGTCTAATAACCTGCTTAAGTGGTAAGTCCATCCATACCACGTACAGCGTGTTCAAGCTCTTCTGCCCCGGGATTATGAGCCCCGAGTTGCTTTTTGTCGCACAATGTTAGAAAGACACAGGAAAGATCCACGGTTCTTTGAAAAAATTGTATGGTCAGATGAGACCACATTTAAGAAAGATGGGTACATGAACCTGCATAACTTACACGAGTGGCACGTAGCAAACCCACATTTGATGAGAGAAGATAAATCTTAGTATCGCTTCAAGATAAACCATTGGACAGGAATTTTAAATGGTAAAATAATCGGTCCGTTTGAGTTCCCAGAGACTTTGACTGCTGAGGTTTATTTAGGTTTTTTGGAAAATCATTTAGAAAATTTATTGGAGGACGTGCCACTGAGTATTTACAGGGATATGTGGTTTCAGCATGATGGCTGCCCAGCGCACTATGCACTCTCAGTGAGAGAGTATCTCGATCAAAACTTTCCAGGCAGATGGATAGGGCGGTCTGGTACAATACCGTGGCCAGCCCGGTCACCAGATTTGAATCCGTTAGATTTTTTTTACTGGGGAACTGTAAAAGAAAAAGTGTATTTCAAGCCGATTCAAAATGTAGCTGAACTACGGCAAAGACTATTGGAAGCAGCTGAGTTTGTTAATAACCGTCGATTCGCTCGTTTAATAACCCGATCTTTTTTAAGAAGATGTCGAGCGTGTATTGCGGCTGAAGGAAAACAGTTTGAGCATTTGCTGTAAAGGTAAATAATCATTAGCAGCATTTTGACGCCCACTGTTGTGCAAACAGTTATCCTTAAGGGTCCTTGTGCGTTTTCATAATCGCTGTTTAATTAGAAACTTTTGAAAAATTTTCATCAGTTTTTCTTCAAATAAAAATTGTGCATAAGTTAACGAGTAATCTTCTAAGTGTTATACCATTTTGGAATCGTTATCAAATGCGCCAACTTTTAAGGTTACTTGCCAAACTCTCGTAGTACATTTTTTTCCAGTACAGCCAGTTAAAGTTGAGCAAAGTTTCACTTTGGAATACTTGTTGGGAAATAAGTGGAAATTTTTCCTGAACGAGAAACTTTGCCTATCACCCGGTTTCGGCTTGACGTCGACTTCTGGGACACCCTGTATAAATCAAAGTCTCTTCGGGGAAAATATGAATTGTGCATTTTTTAACTATGGCAGGTAAATCGTTTTTTTTACAAAATAAAAAGAAGTGATCCCTGGATACTGCTCCTAACGCATTTTCAATTTTTGATGAAATAGTGCTGTTAACTTTTGTAACTTGCATCCTTTTGGACAAATCATTTTTAAACCAGTCTGAATCACCATATGCCTACCAATTTACCCAACAAAATATTTCTATCAATTGTTTCATATGCCGTCTTCAAATCAAAAAATATTGCTATGACAACTTCTTCGCAGTCTCTGGCTCTTCTCCAATACTCGGTAACTAACTGGAATATTTTTTGCGAAAACCTGCTGTGATTCCACTGAAATTTTGTTTTCTTTTATAAACTGCATTTGTTGGTCATATACTATGGAGTCCAATAATTTTTCACACTCACTTTTTTAGAGCATTTCAAATTGTCAGGCAAAGAACTCCTTCTTAGTGAACAATTATTCCAAGTTAATACAAGATATCCAAAAATTTCGAACAAGTTTTGGTCCATTCCACTTTAAAATTCCATACGCCTACAGAGAACACGCGGTACAACTAGTTTAAAGATATATTTACATACCTCCTAAAGCATACAGCATCGCATCCTTACTCCCGAACTCGTAAGTATCCACTGTTTCTTCCTCAACCTTGTTCTTCAATCCCTCTAACGCTTCCATAAGAGCCCCAGTGGACTCCTGCGCGGACGTCATCCGCTTCGCGTTGCTGAGGTCGCAGATCTGGTCCCACTTATCTCTGACCTTCTCAACAGTGACGTCATCGACCACAGTTGACCGTAATAGTGCTCCATTCGATCGGAAGATGGCGCATTTTCCAGCCCAACCGGCAGCTGATTCTATTATGGAGCCGTTCTCTTGGCAGCTTTCGTGGCAGAGGAAAGCCTGCAAATCATAAAGGGGTTTCCTCTTGGAGTAAGAGTAATACATACAGAATGGGCCAGAAGGCAGTATGGATTTCAAAACCACAGCTCGTGACAGGCGCGTGGGTGCGGAGCGGGGATAAGTAACTTGGTGCTCGGAAATTCAGTCGCTATGGATCGGTGCATTCTGTGTAAAGGCTTATTACAAGAATGGAGATTCGTGCACTATTGCGCGGAGTTAATTTCGCTCTGAGTTCAATTTACATGATCTAAATCAATGTCCCAGTAAACGTGTCAGAAAGTTCGAGACTACTGAATTAGAAACCTGCGGGGCGTCCAATCTCAAGAGGAAACTGTTATCATCCCGAAAGAGATCAGCTGAGTTCGCCATGTCAAGAACATCTGTATTTCGGTAAAAATACCTTAAACTGCATCCATATAAACCTCAACTAGTGCAGGCATTGGAACCGCAGGACCGCCAACTACGGCGTGCGTTTGCCGAAACAATGTTAGAACACTTTCCAAGTTTGTTGTTGTTGTATTCTCTTTTCTGATGAAGATCATTTTCATTTGAGTGGATTTGTCAACAAGCAAAATTACCGGTATTGGGCCACAGAAAATCCCAAATTAAAACACCAACGACCTTTGCATATGCGTAGAGTTACAGTTTGGGCGGCCATGTCGGCTGGAGGAATCATCGGACCCTATTTCTTCGAAAACCAGCAAGGCCAGACTGCAACAGTGAATTCTAATCCCAACACAACAATGCTACGCAATTTTTTCTTCTTACAACTCCATAATGTTGAAGCCTACCATAGCAGGACCTGGTTTCAACAAGATGACGCGACATGCCGTACCGCCAACGAGTCTTTAGCAGTTGTAAACGAAATGTGTAGTGGAAAACTGATATCGCGACGAGGGGACATTGCGTGGCCTCCCCGGAGCCCAGATCACACGTCACTGGATTTTTTTCTCGGGGGATACCGCAAGAGCCGCGTTTATGCTAATAAACTGACGACGATTGCCCAAACACAACATTTCCGAGCAGATGTCCGCTATCCCGCAAGCGATGTGCCAGCGAGTTCTTACGAATTTGAAGTTGAGATTCTAGGAGTATTTGGCTCACATCTCAATGATGTTATTTTTAGAAAACAAAATGTCTCTACTTTATTAAAAATATAAATTATATTCCCTACACTTTGTAGTTTTGTATATGAAATGTGGCAATGTAGCTTTTTATTTCACTTCCCAGCAGCGATCTTGAAATTTTCCAGTGTTATTTTTATGCTAAAATAAGGTAAGTATTCCTGTGTCAATCTCATCACTCTGCTTTTCAGCTTGCAAACTTTGACTAGTTAAAAAAACTATTTTGTGATGGGTCATGGATTATGGAAAAAACATACTTTACTTCAAAAGATCTCTTTCGAGATCTTCCTGGTGAGATCCATGTTTATTTTTATCAATTTCCTCCAATATTTCTTTAAATCAACATACACCTCAAAAATATTGAAAAACACAGGAAAGTATTTTCCTGCTGTAAAAATGGAATATTACGTACTTACGCACGGTTATGCTATTTTCAAGCTCTTTAACGGGTAAACAACGTTATCTGCACTATTTTTTGAAACTTCATAACAAGAAGATTAATAATATCCATAAAACTTGTATTGTTTTCACTTTACGTTGCAAATATAAAAGTATGTTTTTTTCTCAAAATTGTACAAAATAGTTGCTAGTTTTTTATGAGCAAATTTAAATTTTTTGATATACCACCGCAATGTTTCTTTTTTTTTGGCAGGCAATCAGAAATATGTTATATGATGCGATGAAGACAGCATTTTTAACCACGTACCTGCGCGAAACCGCATTTTTTATAAAAATTACCAACACAAAATATTAACTGAGCATGCCTTGACATTTCACTTCACTTGAATAATCTAGAATGCTTAAAACAAAAGCGTTAAGAAACAGGTATCTTACGACAACTGGAGCAATCAACTCGGGCCTCAGCTCAGCAAAAAGATCTGGCGGTAAAATGTCTTCTGTCAATCTACTGCCTGCCGTAGGTACAATCACATTACAATGTATGTTGTATTTGGCACCTTCCTTTGCAACGGTGTGCGATAATCCAACCAAACCCATCTTCGCCGCAGAGTAATTTGCTTGTCCAAAGTTTCCTGATATAAAAGGAAAATAATAAAAGTAATACATTAATTATGTTGTGTTAAATTCTTTGTTATAGCCCCAATGACTACTGAAGACTTCTATATAACATAATTAGCAAATCACATGTCAGGTGTTTAAAAAATGGAGTCCAGTAGGTTGACTCTGCACTTCCTATGCAAGGCTGTTATCAGGATTATGTCCAATACAAGTTAATCGCTCTAAGCTACGAACATGTATAACAAATAAATTAAATGGATCAATCTGGACAAATATACCCATACAATTTTTCCATATAAATGTTCCCTGCTCTACCGACAGAGTGCGATGACCATGTGGCAAGTTAACCCACCTTGCTGTTTGCCCACATTCAAGCAGTCAGTTGCGGTAGCCCGGAAGTTAGACGACAGTCATCAGAGAGGCGTTAGCGTAGCCCGAAATTTCAGACGCGAAGTTTTGAGGTCAAATATGGGAAATCTATGACGTGTGAAGTATGTCAATAGGTGCGTGTAGTTATCGGGGTTGGAAAAATATAAATATACTGATGTCTAAAAATTGATATGTTGCCTCCCCCAACCCCCGATCTTTGACACCTACAATGTTTTTTCTGAAAATGATCAGGAGCTTTTTAAAAAAAACTTTCGTCCTTCGACCGTAGAAACCTTGTGTGATATTTCCTTCCAATGCCAGCAGTACTTTCTAAGGTAAAGTGGTCAGACAGAAACACCAATAGAAGTAAGTAATATGGTTTTTCTGTGATGTAGATTTCACATATCATTCAAAACTCATGTCTCATTTTTGAAATTTTTCGCGATTAAAATACTTCCTCGCCAGTGGCCTGGAAGTAAACACAGGCTTGGCATGTGACAAAACTCTGTAGTAGTCACAACATTTTTTAAAAACACTTGGTACATCAAATAAGAGAAAATGGACCATTAATTTGGTAAATTTTTTTTAATGAGGGATATGCTATCATGTTCATACATCATAGCATGCAAAAGTTGTAGTTTGTTTTAATCCCCTTTTTAACATTAGCAACATACTTGTGACACTGCAAAAGCTTAGCAAATGCATATCCTCTCAAGATTTAATATTTGCATACTTTGTTTCAAGCATCCTAACAATCTTAAGAAAATTAGTAGTAGTATGCTTTATGCTGAAATATAGAAACAAACTTAAGTCCAAATAACAGATATTCTTCGCTAGGTACTAACCATAAAGTCCTGCCACTGATGATGTCATAATGATCCTTCCATAGCCTTGTTTTTTGAAAATTGGAAATGCAGCCTGGCTAGTTTTGAAACTTCCTTTGACATGTACCTGGTGAATTAAATCTGAAAACCATTCATTCATTTTATCTTTATTACATTTGGATATTATGGTTTATTTTACCCCAATCCTGATCAGTCATTTTGACTAAGCTTTTGTCTCTCAAAATTCCAGCATTGTTTATCAGAATGTCCACTTTTCCAAAATTGTCTAATGCTGTTTTTATGACTTTTTCTCCTTCAACTACAGAATCATAGTTAGCAACAGCTGTTCCTCCTGCAATAAAAAAAATAATCAAATACTTTCAATGATTCATTCTTGAAGCCAGGCCAAATTATAAAATATTTCCAAATTTTTAACAAGAAATATGAGGTCTCATATTTTGAAAATAAAGGATATGTATTTAAATTCATAATAATTTCTTAAAAAAATAAAGGTTTAACAAATACATCTGCAGAATAAGATGATTACTCCTCATGATATAGGACCCATATTGGATTTATTATGGAAAGATACTCAAGGCCAAAAAGCAACACTTACAAAGTCTGTTTTGAGGAAAGGTCTTGCCATTACTGATGAAATAGTGATTCCAGAATCTCTGTCAACTCCAAATATTGTTGTAGGTGGTAATGCTTTCATAGGCACACACAGAGGAAGGACCAAGGCATGCCCATGACTACCTTGACAATCACATAGCCCCTTAAATTTGCATCTTCAACATAGCTGTGTGTACCATATTCAAAATTTCAATATTTTGCTTCAACTGAGAAAATATGATACACACTGCTCTTTAAAAAATTTTGTGGCCTAAAAGGCTGATACCTAATCATAATATATTCCTTTTGTCAATTAATACTGCTTATGAGAAAAACTACTGCTAGCACCACAAAAGCTTGTGAAGATGATGACTAGAGTCCTAGAAAACCTCAGCACAGCTTTATGGTTAATAATAATGCATTCTCTCCATAATGTCAATTTTATTCAGTAAGTAGTAAGAAAGAAGTAATATGCTTAATTATATTTGCATCAAGTCGGTCACCTGATATGGAAATTTATGTTTGACCCTGACCCCTCCAAGCTTAATTAAAATATTTGTAGCAAAAATTTGACATAACTACACTGTATGCATATGTGTAAATACAAACCATTTCTTCTAATCTCTTCCACAACCTTATCGGCAGCATTCGAGGAGCTCCCATCTCCATGTCTACTAACTCCCAAATCGTTCACAACAACTTTGGCCCCTCGGGAAGCGAAAAGTAGGGCATAGGCTCTACCCAATCCTGCCCCAGCGCCTGTCACTACGGCTACTCTACCGTCGAATCTCAAGTCTGGCATACTGGAAAGTTTTCACGATGCGATACCTGACGAGTTAGTGTTTGAATGATTCCTTACTTCCAATTAAAACGAAGACTGAGCGTAATGCACTTATCTATGTTGTTAAAAGTGAACGTTGAACTCTGATCCTTGAAAAACCGGAAAAAAACAAGTTGTCATAAATGTTATAACCTCAAAAGCAAGAGACTTGAGAAATCTTTCTCAAATATTATGGAAGCTATTTTGGACAAATCATATAACGAGATGTATATTAAAGGTACTTGTAATTTCTTATCAAAAAATATCAAAATTACCCAATGAAATTTGAATAAATGCATTTTTCCTAGATATGCGAGAATTCAGGAGAGCCGGCACCGTGGCGAATTGCATATGATTTTGACGTTATACATTTGCACTGGTTTGTTCCAAGTATTCTATCTGATCTTAAATCAAATTCAAGCGGATAACCAAATGGAAATGGTATTTACCATTTTGGGTTGGTATTTACCAATCCGTTCAAGCGAGTGTAGTTATCAGTTTGGTTATAAGATCCGTGACGTCACGAATCAGCTGTTATATGTCATAGTTATCACCGCAAAATTGTGGTATTTACCCAACTCAAGAGTAGTTTTATATTTCTGGTTATTATTTGAAATGTGACAAGTTAGAATTTTGCCGGGTATTGGATATTGTTATTGTACTTCAGCTTCATTTTTGAGAAAAATGATACAGGCTGACTTCAGTTTTACCATAAAGTGGAGCACCTTATTAGTTATACTCATTACGGTTGTTGGGGGCACTATAAATGTAGTTCCTATGCTTAACAAAGTATCCTGTGTAGCCATATACCACAAGAATATTAAAATATGGCCATATAAACTCACTAGATGATATCCACCTGTATACGGTTTTGCTAATTTCTTTTTTCATCATTTCTGCTGAATCAATAAATGTTTTCTTTGACATGCGGAAAAATTTAGAGAATTGAAAGTTATCATAGACACAAAGCCATGGTTCCATCATTAAAAAAAAAAATCTGACAAAACATTTCTCCCATGAATATTATGAAAGGTTTCTTATTTAAACTTTCCATATACAGTTGTAGACGAAAAAGCACCAATTATTAAGTGATAATAAAAATAATCAGAGATTATATACGCGCTTTTCTAAAATAAACAACTTGCAACAAAACCGCGGTTAAAACCAACGCGTTCAAGCGATTCGTGTAACTGACGTCATCAACCCGTGTGTCATCTTGAACCATATTATAAATTATAACCGCGACACATAACACAGAAATTTTGGTGATTCGCTTGGATTTGATTTTAGTTGTTTCGCTGGACAAGTATGTACTGTATATAGCCAAGGGGTCTTAGCACTTTCCTACAAAAATCCTACCTCCATTTTTTCAATATCCCAAAATTTTCATTGGATGAGATGTTTTTGACAAATTACTCATCGGTCGCGGGTATAGTCTTGAGTCTTGGTTCAAATTTTTAAACACGCATGGCCAAAAAGTTCTTGTATGTTGTTAGCTCTCCCGTAGTGACTGAACTAAGCTGGAGGAGTTTAATCCCCCATGCAATCCAAAGTGCATACGAATGCAGACAATGGCTACGGACTTAGGCAACACATCATACGTTTACTTCAAATTAAAATTAACATTTATTTTCTCATTATACAATTATTAGCCGTGAACGTTCCTGTTATAACATATATCTCTGATATTTATATGGAAGATAAGTATTCAGATACCTCAGATGAGATTACATTTGAATTACAATAAGGCACGCAAAATGATAATTAATGCTAGGCACAATGGGATTTCAAGCACCCTTATCAGTTCAAATGACTGTAAGATACCTTTTCAGTAACATGATTGTGTATACAATAGTTTGATATCGATAAAGATAAAATAAACTGTCGCTATCGCAGTAAACATTTGCTCGGTTGTAATTTGTTTCTTGAGAACGTCAACAAAAGTCATCTCTGGTAGCTTCATAAGAATACGGAAATTCTACAGTTTCAAACGAGAGCATTTATTTGGTGAGTACGGAATGATAGAAATGATTCAAATTAAGCGCCTCGTGACGCATTTTCCGTGTTTCCTCCCACCCATGCGCGTAGCCACACCGACCGAATATATATATACACGTGCCAGATGCATTTTCCATTTTCTCAAACAATTCGATAATTTCGCGAGTTGAGCAAATTGTGATGCTGAAGAAGTAAATTTTCTAGTCTATTTTTTTACTTATTACGAAAGGCTGAAGACGTAGGATACTTGTGGTAAGAGAATAGATGCGCTTTTACGATTTTTGATTATGTAGAAGTGTCTCGAGCTATCTAGGGTGGGGCATGCTCTTGTATTGAATGTGAATAATTACCGCCACGTGTTGTGATGTTTGATCGCATTCGTGAGACTTCGAAATTGATAATGTTCTGAAATTTAAAGTAATTGTAATAATCACGATCATAAAATTTCACCGGAAGGTTGGGGTAGGTAGGCACCATTTTTTGCTGCAACTATTATAGATTATAGTATCCCTTCTAGAGTTAAAATAGTATAATGTAATCCTATTAGATTAAATAAAGGTAAATTATGTAGCTTGTAGCAAATAGCAGTATATGGAATTCATCTTTTTCTCAGTTGACATGTTGCAAACTTTTTTTCAGTCATCTGAGTGTCTCTTTTAATAGTTTTGCCCTATTGTCATTACAAAATATCAGTTCTTTTAACGATATTTGATTTGTAGCTCTTTCTGTGCGTGTATTTGAAATTTACTAGTTTTGTTGATTTACCTGTATGCCTTTCTATTAGACCTTGAAATTGAAAAAAGTTTAGTTTTTATCTAGATTGTTCTGTTTACTTTTTTTTATTGGAATTCCATGAATTTGTAAGAGGCAGTCTTTTTGTCTATTTGGTTGTAAGGGTTATTCTTCTCGGAGATTCTCATTTACAAAGTGGTATGTTCTATTTACCAAAATCCATTCACCCTTAGATTTATGCAATCAGTGATACATGGTATAAATTAGCTGTTATAGTATAGTCAGCAGAGTGCTTTATCTCAGTGCTTATCTGAATAGGATAATGTGCATAAAATTGAATAGTTGAATTAAATTATCCCTTACATATGATAGTCACTATCATTTGCAGATGAGTTGCTATCTTTTCTATTGTATGAGATGAGCTGATCTGACGAATATTCTGGATAGTCATACTCAAATATCACAGTATCAGTATTTGCTGTTTCTCATTGATATGTGAAGTAGAAATCCACCGACACTGACAAAATAACTGTAAATCCTGATTTGTCTCTTGAGAAATGAGATTTTCCTGGTTTGAGAAGTTTTCAGCCTACTGAAAAACGTATTTAACTTGAATAACAAGGTTAAAACAGTAAAAAATCCCTTCTATCTCACTTTGATCAGACCCAAAAGTAGTATTGTAAAAACACAAAAATTCATTCTGCTATTAGACTAATATTTTATTTTAAATTGCAGATATAAAATGGTACAACAAGACACTACAAATTCCCTAGACGAGTCATCTTCTGCGGTGATGACCATACCTGACAACCCAGCGAAGGGCATCCCAGAGGGGAAGTACCGACTGGTCGGATGGGGCATCGACACCACTGGCCGCCGTCTCATTGATGAGATCATACAGATCGCGGCTTACACGCCCGATTCAAAGTTCTCACAGTACATCATGCCATTCGCAGACATCAATCCCATCTATATTCACAGGTATGTGTATTGGTATGGACAATGATATTTTTTTGGTTTTACAGTTTTATGATTGATTATCTAGTAAAATATACTGCAAAAGGGGCAAACCGGGAAATTATACAGATACCAGAAAATCTGCTTGCACATTCTATAATATGCTCAAAAGACTCATGTTGGCGTCTCATGTTATTTAAAGTCATCCTTTGATGTCTACTGACGAGAACAGCTAATCAGCAAGTGACATTTTTGTGCTGGACTCGTGACATTGGCAATAATGAATCAGGTGTAAATCTAGTAAAACTTGTTTGTAGCATTTTGGTTTTTGTATGCAAATGAACTTTATAATAAAAGAGCTGTTAGCAAGTGCAAAATGACTTTATTCGTATCACTTACCGAAAATTCTCCATTTGCTTGTTCAGTCTCGAATGCTTCTAAAAATTCTAGCCATATCTCTGTAGTCTCTCCTATAGTACAAGTGTTTCTTTGGAATTTGTCCAAAGCAAATGTGACATACTTTAATTTTTTTTTAAAGTTTTGCGCATTTGTCTTTAAATTGGTAAAAATTTAAAATTCAAAGTTACCTGTATTATTATCTGGGTAAACATTCTTTGAATATTTTTGAGTTTTGGATATCTCATCTAGCGTTAAATCCTCCTCTGACTCGGAATCATAGATAATTGACATTGAAGGCTGAGAATTTTCAGATGAACACATTTTTGAATATGTTTCTTCATACGCATCACTATTCCGGCCAGAATTACTTTACATTTTTTACATTTAGCATTCACTGATTTTTTGTTATCTTTAACAATATCAAAATAGGACTTTTAGAAAAAAGAACACCACAAAATAACTTACAGTAGACGTTATTGCAATAGCCAACTTGCAAGACGAATCTATAAATAGTAGTCTGTGGTTCCCCCAGGCCAATAGTTCCTCATTGCAGTTGGTTTTTGTTATTTTGGGGATTCACGGGCACAGCCTAACGGCGGCGTGGCGCGACGTAGTTCGTAACAGCTAATTGCGACAGTTTAGTACAGAGTCGGACTTTAAATAAGGTATCTTTTATTTAGTAGAATAATGGGTCGAACATTTTCAATTTATATTATGAAAAAAATGATTTGAACAATGTTTTTTTCTAAGCTTCATTTGTTTAAAACATAAGATTTAAAAACAAAAAAAACATGTTTAAAACAAAAAAAAAAAAACGTTTAAAACAAAAAAAAAAACGTCTAAAACAAAAAAAAACGTGTTTTGTATAAAATAAAAAATACATGTTTTTTTTCAACCCTTTTAAGATTCTGATATTGGCAATACTGAGCTAAGATATATTTTGCTTGAGTAAGTATGCCTAGAAAGGTTTTGGTTGTATTTGAGAATTTTGAATAGACAGCCATTCTTTTTTTTTTATTTTTTGAATCTGAAGCAAAGGCATGGGAAATGTAGAGTCAATCGATTTGCCCTCATATTATTTATTTAATAAGCATTGTTTCAGGCATGGCATTAAAGTGATCAATACAATCCGCTATAGGAGACTGAGGGACCTGAATGCCAACCAGTTTGTCAAGACCAAAAGTGAGATTTCTGCATTGCAGGATTTCTTGCAATGGTTGGAGACTGTCAAGACGGATGATGTAGATGGCAAGTATTTTTCTCATTAATATGACGAAGTATTTGTGGTGGTGTTTGTGTGCGTAAAAGACTTGAAACCATCCAGGATATGATATAAAAAACAGTAGGGCCGATTTCACCAACATTGATATTATGGACCAATGGGAAAATACCTTATCGAAATGCAATTTGACACAAGCTGTTAAAGGTATCTGAATATTAGTGATTTCTATTGAAATATTGAATAAAATCGTGAAAATTCGACTGTATTATAAACAAGACCACTTTTTGATTCCAACATGATGCTTTTTTACAGAAAAAACAGGACACATTTCATGTATTTTGATATATGTTTACATTTAACAATCCGTTATCCCCCTCAGCGAATGGAAATGCGGAAAATAATAGGTCGATTTTCTAATGGTTAAATTTGGCAGCAGATTTGGACGTTTGTTAATGCATGGCACTCTCGAATTTACCAACTTCAATATACTGAAAGTTATCATTACTTACCTGTTGAATAGTGTGGATTTGTCTGTATTTTGCAAGAAAATAGAATATAAAATACATTCCATCCAATTCCTCATCTTCCTTTACGTCATAATAGTAATCATTTATTAATTCATGGGTTAATGAATTTTTTCAAAGCAATAAAAACACAGATAATATGTGTAAGACGTGTCAATTCCCTACATCTCCCTGATGCATAATGCAATTACTATGGACATAGACTAAAATTATGAAAAATGTTTCACAAATAATGTCTTTTAAGTCCAAAAATCAAAAAAACTAGTAATGTTTATTGTTTGTCTTTTTGACTGGCGAGGATATCTATCTGTCACTCGCAGGGTTGCCAAGTCTAACGACGATCACGCCCCGTGGTGGAGGGTGCGAAATGAATCTTTTACATTTGCTGGTTTTAAATTTTTTTCGTGAAAATTTAGTAGGTATCATGATTATAAGCATCTTTGGTAGATTGTTCGATCAGTGCACAAACACAGTGACATATGATTTATAGCATAACCCGCTGCCCTATCAATACAAATTTAACATACAGGTCGCCTAGCCGTGCGGATGCAGTGGTCGGGATGAATATCACGGCAGCAACTGATGACTTGGGCATATCTGGTAACAACGTATGAAGTGAAACTCGCTAACTTCACAAATTTGAAGATTTTTTACAATTTCTTTGAAAATGATGAAAGATATGTCTGATTTGGCAGGGTAATGTCGCAGCCAAATGGCAGTCACTCTTTCTGACACAGTCCAGATCGAAAGATGACGATACTCGTGAAATGTATTGATACTTCTAAATATAGGATAGTATCGAACATCCCTACTGTCAAGATGTATAACCCAAGGTACCGACGGAGCTATTTTGCGGCATCATGGAAATAATTTTAAATTTTCATTTGCATTTTTTCAAGTGTTGTGCAATGATTTTGGGAAAAATGTCACGAATAGTCTTATAAAGCATAGTAGAGTATATTTAAATAGTTGGCGGAACTTACTCTACTGGGACCAGGAGGGTGAAACGAGATATTAATGCACAATCTGGCAACCCTGTCGCACCCTCACAAAATGGCCACTGACAACCACACAAGTCACCGTGTTGTCATTGAATAGCATGGAATTAAACCTTCAGAGTATATGTTTTGTGACTGGTACCAAGAGTTGACAGATCCCACATATGTGTCACTCCTTGAAATGCAATAATCAGCTGTATTTAAATAATATCTAATATAAATATAAACTAGAATGTGTACTCGTGAAAAAATAAAAATATGGCAAATTTGTAGCTTTTTTGCAGGTTTTAGGTTTGCTGGTAGCTTTAAGGCATATATTTGGGAAATTCTTAATTGCTGTGAATATAGTGTGGATGTTTGTTCAGTTCCTGAACAACGAAAGATATTCAACTTTTTGGATGTATGGATATCAAAAAACCTAAAATTTGTTGATTGGAACTTGAAGCTCATTGGTTGTATTTGACGGTCTGTTACCCTATAGGTGGAGAATAACGGACTGTTGTAGGTGAAATTGGCCCTTACAGTTTTAAATTTATTGTTTCACAAATTAAATGAATACAACGTTTTTTTGAATTAGATTGTCTTTCTTAATTTTTTATTTCTCTTTTGCAGGTTTGATACTCATCTACTATGAAGTCCGCAAGGCTTCACCAAGCATGCTGTTAGAATCTTTGAGGCGTCATCAGTTGATCGACAGGTTCTCAATGGTGGTGAAGGGCTTTTGCAATGGCTTCAACATTGTGCAGGCCAAGTGTGCTAACACGACAAAGTCTTTCAACTTGCGAGTCATGTCGAAAGTGCTGTTGAACAAGTAAGGTTCTAGCATTGTTCAACATATTCTGCCTGAACGATATTTCGGCAGCGAAAAATTATCCGAGTTGCGTCATCTATGAGAATTTATCACAACTACGATTCACACACTTCCTCGCCTTTACGGTTGCCGCGTAATTTAAATTTGAAATGTGAACTTTCCCAATGGATTACAATAAATTAAAATATTAACAGTTCCGGTAATGGATGGCATTTTGTGCCGTCTTATTTCGATTATGTTCTTGACTTCCGCTGTAACATAACAGTACTACAGTAATACCTTTGTTTCTAGGGAAGATGGAAGCTTCAACAACGCCGTTGACAGGGCTGTCGCCTCGTTTGACATCGCCTCTCACTTGGCTCAAAGTGAAAGGGAAGAACTGGAGAAGCCTGCTTCAGGTATGACAGGTTTCGAACGGCATCTGATCCAGTTCATATGCCCATATTCCAATGCTATCGACGACGAGGAGGAAGAGATTAGGTCGTTTAAGGTATGTGTTTCTATAATTATTCGATCCTGTTTTGAACTCATCAAAATGGAAGAAAGTAGAGAAAATGTTGAAGCGCGTATTCAGATCTCATCAAACTCGAAAGCAAACTGCATTGAGGTGGCACTTCACATGCGTTTCATCAAAATTTATAGACTATCTGGAATTGTTTGAAGGACATAGATCGTCTATATCAAATCTGCATGGGCTCTTAATAGAGACATGTTTTCTCACATTATTTTGATTTCCATCAGATATAACTTTATAAACAGTGCGTTAGTTTTATTGCTTCGAATTTCAGCTTGCTTTTACAAATTAAGTAATGGGGGGTTGAAAATCACTGAATATTTTATCTTACATTTTTTCTAGGTATTGCTAGAAAGACAGAATACATTCCGGCCTGTGTTTGGTGCCTTATTGCGGGCCAGTAGCTCCGAGCGTCAACACGCCAGCCATCTTAGGAGGCTGCTAGCAGAAAATGACATCAACTATGACAAGCTGAAGATCGCGTACGACGAGAGTGCCAAGGAGGGTCTGGAGAAGATCATCAAAGCTGGGGTAAGAAAATTACAGTAAAATATACAAAATATTTTTTAAAGATAATGAAAAATGAAGAAATACTCGCATGGCCCAATGCGTTCAAAATTCTGATTCACAATATCTCCGGAATATTAGAATGTTTTACGAACATGTATCCACCCATAGTGTTGATGTTTGTATGCATGTTCCACTAGGCCTTCTAAATTGACGAAAAATAAACGTTTTGGCACACGTAGACGTTAGAATTAGAAAATTGCATTTTTCAATGAATTTTTTTCTGGATGTTGAGCACCACAAAGTACTCATCTTTTGGCTATTTCAGATTTGCTGTTATGCATCTTTAATAAAAAATAAATATATAAATGGACGATTTCTGACATTTTTTTGTAAAAACAAACTGATTTGGCAAATTGGTCGTGTGAGGTTTGGTATTTTTCGTCTCCAGGAACTTTTTTTTGGATCACTTAGACCAACAGTTCATAACTATACTAAGTGACATATAAATCCCAACACCCAGTTTAAATGGTTTTATTTTAATAAAATTTTGTATAAGTACAGTTGTATTCATAAAAAAAGCGTACACGAATTAGAATGAGAGGAAACCTTAACCTTATTTGCGTAAAACCAGCTTATCGCATGTTAAAGGTTATTAAAAATGCAAAGCATGGGCGTCGGGCATTAGTTCAATACAGTAACAAAAATGTATTTCTTTATTTTACATCTTAACAGTTTTATAAAAATTACAATAGAAACAAAAAACGATTAACAAGAATAAATAAAATCTAATATTTGGTCATATATCCCTGTTTTTCTATTACTTGAGCCAGTCTATTCGGAATTGACTGAATTATATTTGATACAATATTTGGATCAAGCTCTTCCCAGCACGCATGTATTATTTCCCATAAATCTTCTGAATTTTGTCGCCTAAACTTTCGATTATATATTTTTTTTACGATTATACCCCAAATATTTTCGATTGGATTGATATCGGGACTATAAGCGACCCAAGGCAGCACTTCCACATTATGGGTTTGAAACCAGTGGGTTACAGCATTGGCCGTATGAACTGGACAATTATCTTGTTAATATATGAACGTATTATTGGGATATATTTGCTCAGCACTTGGTAACAATATGTTTTCTAAAATGTTAATGTAATTTCCGGCATTAAATCTTCCCTCTATTCGCCAGCAAACACCAGGTCCATGAACACTTATCCAGCCCCATACATTTACAGAGAAACGCCCAGGTCTAGAATTGAGGGGGTTAGTATATCGCTCTTCAAACCTGGTATTGTTTGGACGGTAAACACGAATTTGGCCGTTATAAGTCGACTGGAACGTCTTTTCATCAGTAAAAATGACCCTGTTCCAAAATTGAGGATTGCGGTATATATAATTTAAAGCAAAAATAATCCTTGATTGTCGCCGTTCTTCGTTAAGAAACATTTTTTTCGCAGCAGGGTGACGTTTTAGTTCAGATTTCATTACTCTCCTGCTGGCGGTAGGTTGGGAGGCAGGAAATGCTGTATCAATAACTGCATCCCTTACAGTTGCAAATGGATTATTTCTTAAATATCCCAAAAAAGCAGCATCCTGTTCAGGGTTGGTAAGTTTGGGACGACCTGAACCAATTTTCCTCTTTAGGGAATCTTCCTGTTCCCAGCGTTGCTTAATTTTTAATATGGTTTTTTTATTTCTATTATACAACTGCGCTACAGCACGGATTGACCATCCTTCTTCGATTCTTGATACAATTTGAGCCTTTTCAACTTCAGACAACTGACGAGGCATTTTTATTTTCTTCTGTCAAAGTTTATCAAACGTTACCACCACGCATTTTCGAAATGAATTACACCGACGTCAATGCTTTGCATTTTTGACAATCTACGACGTGTGATAACCTCCAATAAACAATCATTTAGACAAGCCGGTTTTACGCAAATAAGGTTAAGGTTTCCTCTCATTCTAATTCGTGTACGCTTTTTTTATGAATAGAACTGTACTTAATGAAGCATACTAAGTAAATGATAAAAATTTCAAAATGATTGCACAGCTTTAAAGCCCTTTGACCTTTAATAATGTGTGGATGCACCCTGATGTGCTGCGCATTCTCCAATGCGCCTAGGCATGCTTCGGATCAGGTGGTCAATGTCCTCCTGTGGTATCTCATTCCAGGCAACCACCAACTCCTCTCGAAGTGCTTCTAGAGTCTGAGGAGGACGTTGCAAATTGAGCAATCTCCTACCCATCACATCCCACACGTGCTCAATTGGGGATAAGTCGGGAGATCTTGGTGGCCATGGTAACAATGTGACATCATTATGTTGAAAGAAGTCTATTGTGACTCTTGCAACATGTGGTCGGGCATTATCTTGTTGGAAAGTTGGATCTGCCAGGGTGTCAAGGTAGGGTAAAATATGGGGTCCTAGAACTTCGTGGATATAACGCTGCGCGTTCATGTTACCTCTGATGAAGATTAAAGGTGACCTGGAACCATAAGCTATAGCACCCCGAACCATAACTCCAATAGTGTGATGAACATGTCTTTCAACAAAAAACTGTGGATTCCTCCTTTCACCACGTCGCCTTCTAACCCTTACACCGACGTAATCGCCTTGAGTGGTGCAGACAACGGTCACTCTGGGATCAGGAATGGAACAGTATTGTCTTTAGTGACGAGTCTCGATTTTGTTTAGGCATGCACGATGGTCGTGCCAGGGTTAGAAGGCAACGTGGTGAAAGGAGGAATCCATAGTTTTTTGTTGAAAGACATGTTCATCACACTGTTGGAGTTATGGTTTGGGGTGCTATAGCTTATGGTTCCAGGTCACCTTTAATCTTCATCAGAGGTAACATGAACGCGCAGCGTTATATCCACGAAGTTCTAGAACCCCATCTTTTACCCTATCTTGACACCCTGGCAGATCCAACTTTCCAACAAGATAATGCCCGACCACATGTTGCAAGAGTCACAATAGACTTCTTTCAACATAATGATGTCACATTGTTACCATGGCCACCAAGATCTCCCGACTTATCCCCAATTGAGCACGTGTGGGATATGATGGGTAGGAGATTGTTCAATTTGCAACGTCCTCCTCAGACTCTTGAAGCACTTCTAGAGGAGTTGGTGGTTGCCTGGAATGAGATACCACAGGAGGCCATTGGCCACCTGATCAGAAGCTTGAATGCGTAGCACACCAGGGTGCATCCACACATTATTAAAGGTCAAAGGGCTTTAAAGCAGTGCAATCATTTTGAAATTTTTATCATTTACTTATTATGCTTCATTAAGTACTTATACAAAATTTTATTAAAATAAAACCATTTAAACTGGGTGTTCGGATTTATATGTCACTTAGTATATTTGAATATACTCGAGAAAGCGGTTTTTAAAACTTTGACGTTTAATAAAAATTTAGCCAGGAAAATTTTTTGTATCGCAATGAGGAGCCTTGTCATATACCCTCAAGAAAATAATGCCGCTGTAAAACTCACAATTTGTTTCTGAAACGTGGTGGATTTTTGGCTAGTCATGTTGGTCTAGCTGGTGAATAAAAGAGAATTGAGATTTTTCTATATTCTTTGAAGGTGCCAAATGGAGAAGAGAAAGACATTGAAGAACTGTTGAATATTCTCGATTGTTTCTTTGACCCATCCAAAAAAGCTGTCCAGCCGAAAGCGGGGATCTCTGCAAGGTTCTACCGTCCAATGGGCGGACGTAACAACAATCGCAAACGTCGGTCATTCAACAGGTCAGTAAATTGTTGATTGCTAACATTTTGAAGAACTCATAAACCTTGAATATTTGGAGATTGTATGTATTCGTGAAAAAATCGCAAGTTACTTCAAAATATTCCAGAGTATAAGGATGCGAAAATAATAGTTTTTCCACATTTTTGAATCTTTTTTAATGTCTGCTAAAAGCATGGGGAGCTAGCCACTGTCGTTTGACAAGACACTGGGGGTGCAAAAAAGGGTATTTGAACACAGTTTGTGAAATGCCTGAAAGTAGTGAATCAAACAAACATCAAGATAACTTTAATCTTGCGTGAAAGATAGCCAAAAACCACAAGGAAAAATAAAATCGTATACAAGGAATTAATATCGTCATAAAAATGTACTGATACGATAACAACCATAGTACAAAACTCTGACCACAAAAGATAATCTTTTGCCCAGGTGCCTACACCGGCAAAAAAGCTATTTCTAAAATTAATCATACAGGTAATTATAGAACATTCATTGTGAAAACACCGAGTGAGTTTGTGAAGAATCTTGCAAGGCTAATCAAATCTCAGTATTAGTACATGAATAGGCTGTACATTATTTGAACATATTACTGATTGCAAATTTGCCAAAACTTTATGATGCAGCAAACATGTCATTTAGAGTGTTTAACATATTTTACATTATTAAGGCAATTGATGGTTGCTTTCTGGGTTTACTTGCTAGTTTATCTTGAACTTAAACATCATCTACCATCAAATATTCGAACATGTATTTAGGAGCGTCGTGAATGCAAAAGGTCAAGATCAAACTCTGTGGCCTCTTATTTTTAGTTTGCAACCCCTACTGGTTGTCGGCAAAATACTCACCTCGCACACCTCTACTATTGGTTATGTCACCAGATTGAGCCACTGTGAAGATGCAAGCGAACTAGCTATGGTAGCTTTCTTTTACTTAGTTGGATTTATAGTCCTTCCTTGAGGCCAGAGGTTTCCTTGGAAACAATGGATCTCTTCTTGGAAACAGTGAAATAATGACGCTTCCTTGAGGAACGTTCAAGGGAGGATTAAAATTGAATGGTGTTTCAATGAGAGCGCCGGATTCGATTTTCAAGAAAAACACAATTTCTTTTCGAATTAAGCTAGTATTTATATTCCAACATGAAGAGGAATAGTGGCGATTAGACATGAAATAGAACATCCGGTAAATGGCCACCACGAAACCTCTGGCACAGGGTCAGTCTTTTCTTAAAATTCTAGATAACGTTTTTGCACAACTGTGGCTCTATTTCGTCGGTAACGCGCCGAATCTCTTTAGGGCGTTCAATTGTTTGTGGCTTGTTCGCATACAACTTTTCTTTCACGTGGCCCCAGAGGAAGAAGTCCATTGGCGTTAGATCGCACGATCTTGCTGGCCAATTTTGATCGTCAAACCGAGAGATGGCACGGTCTAGAAACTTGGTCCGCAGTAACACAATTGTTTCGCGGGCTGCGTGGCAGGTCGCACCGTCTTGTTGGAAGAACATATCCCCACATCAATTCGATCCCACTGGGGCCACAAAAACTCGGTCAACATTTCGCGATACCGCATACCATTAACAGTTACCGCATTTTCGAAGAAATACGGTCCAATCACTCCACAATACGTATTAAATGGTAACTCGCGGCGGATGCATTTCAGTTGAAATTGTGCCTCATCAGAGAAAATGATTTTCTTCGAGAAATCCGCATCAATTTGGTGGAGCTCCATGGCCCAATCAACGAATTCACGGCATGGTCCGTTGGCTTCAGTTCTTGCGTCAGTTGAACCTTGTACGCATGCAAGCACATATCTTTTGTCAAAATTCGTTGCAGAGTGGATCTGGGGAGGTTCAATTCTTGGCCACGATGCCGAATGGAAGTGCCTGGATTCTCGGCCACACTTTCCCGCACTGCGACTAAATTTTCGACCGACCAGGACAGCGACGAAGAGTGGTCTTCACATTCAGCAACGTAGAAATGTTGTCTCAAATTTTGTAATTAAACGCCGAACTGTCGACTCATATGGCGCATTATTGCGACCGAAAATTGTACTTAATTTGCGAACTGTTTCCGCGTAATTTTCTCCATTTTTGTAGTGAGTTTTCACAATAATTAAACGTATTGGGTATTACCCATTTCAATAGTCTCTACCATAACGTTTACACCCTGAGTATCAATAAGACCGTTTCTCAATACATTGCGGAACCCCTTCCTAATGCATTTTGCTCACAATGAATGTCAACTAGATGACAACTTTGATATTACACGCAAATTACTTAACCTGAAAACTGTCGCTTCCCAGTCTATGAAACACGAAATAACTATTGAGAATCTCTGAAATATCAAGGGACAGTGAAGTGAAAGAGAATGTCACTCTAAATCTGACTGTGTGCTCGTTGGTGTTTCGCTCAAATATCGATAGCAGCGTGTATGTCATTGTCAAAATGCTGCTTAACGACTGTAATCCGACCAGGAATAAGAATGGCGGTTCCGAGAGCCGCAGCAGCCCGAACAGCAAGGAAGCCAACGCGACAGAGCGCAGCAGCGATGAATCCTCCCCAAGGGCCGACCACGAGGCCGGGGGCGGCGATGGCGGCAAAAAGACTGAGGTGATCCGTGCAGGGACGCCAGAGTCGCCCGTAAAGACGGCCAAGCCGCCGCAGGCGCAGCCGCAGGAGGTGGCCGCCAAGTAGTCACGTGAAGCCAGAGTGTGCCTTATGGAAAGGGCCGCCCACGTCGCAACACAGGTGAGCGAGATAATGCTAGATTTCTTTTTGTTTTCGTTAGATTGTATATTGTCTATTATTAAAATATCAGAAAGGTGACGCACCCGTATTACGTAACTTGAAAAGTGACATTATATCGATTTTTTTGACATTGTGTAGGTTTGGTTTGGCCGTATGTCAGTAGCTGGAAGGTAAACCGCCGTAAGTCCATTTTGACTTAATTTTGAGGTATTCTAGTGATACAATCTCTAAATTAAAATATTCACCTGTCACTATTTTGTTAAGCACCACCTTTTTGATGTTGATGTTTTTAATTATGTCCGTTGTTGGAGGTGTGTTGAAATTTTTGTTTGTTTCATCCATTAATGGAACTTTAGTTTTTGGATTTACGATTGTTTACCTCTCGGGTACAGATGTAGGTTTTCCACCTTTGAACTATTTGACACTTCAAGGTCACTTCTGGTAGGCGCGAAATAGTACGTAGGTTTTCTACTTGATAACCCTGCAACGACAGTAGACAGCCAAGAGAGACAGCGACGCACGGCCAAGATAAAGGTGACTGTCTCTAGTGTTTCCTATTAACCTAGTTACTATCTAGCAAGTTCAAGTTGACGTTGGCGGTGTCATTGGATATATCGCTGCATCTCAAGAATAGTGACTCTACAAAAAAAAAAAACGAGAAAAACTAGTCTAAATTGAAGATTAATTCCAAATGTTGACTATTTTATCAGGAATAAAGACATTTGCAATTGTTTCAGAGTTTTCGCCAGAGGTGATGCTGTCGTTGTTCGTTATTATCGAATGTTTTGGGGTTCTGTCATGAATAATGTCATATTGCCGTTGCGGCTTGGCTTTCAAAGCGTATACTTACATTTTTTTCAAGAATAACGTCATACGAGGGATGTCTTTTAAGTTTTGCATATAGAAACATAGTAGGCCGCGCGGATCGAACGTCAGTACTGAATCTTAACCTCACTTTTTAGTAAACTTAAATTCAAAGTTTCACAACAATACGTGCAGTGTTCTCACTACAGTGAATTTTTAAGTGTCACCAAGTCATTAGAAAAATGGAACTCAACCGAGTACATTTTCGCGCGATAATTTATTACAACTTTCAGAGACAATTATCGCAACAAGAATGCCTTGCTGAGTTACTGTCTGTTTTCGGCAAAGAAGCGCCACATCAGTCGACAATTTCCCGTTGGTATGGAGAATTCAAACGTGGACGGGTGAGTCTTAGCGACGATCCCAGGGTGGGAGCACCAAAAACGGCAGTCAACCAGGAAAACGTCGATGCTGTGCGCACTCATCATTGAAGATAGACATGTGACATATCCCGAGATTAAGGGGTGCTTGAAGATCTCAAAGACCTCAATTCAAAAAAAATTACATGAAGAATTATGAGTAAGAAAATTAGTTCCTCGTTGGATACCTCACCTGTTGACTGAAGAGCAGAAAGCAGCCAGAGTTAATTGGTGTCAAAAAACTCTTGACCGTTTCAATTCCGGAAACTCAAAAAATGTGTACAGCATTACTGTTATGAACCAGAAAATAAACGACAGTCTGCTGTTTGGGTGTTCCAAGGTAAAGAAAAGCCAACAAAAGTCATCCGTTCTCGAAGTGTTTCGTAAAAGCTGGTCGCGACATTTGTGTCAAAAGCGGGTCATATTGCAACAATTCCTCTTAATGAGCAAAGAACAGTTACTGCGGATTGGTATACCACCATTTGTTTGCCAGAAGTCATCACCGAGCTTCGAAAAATCAACCCCGAAAGAAGAATCATCCTCCACCAAGACAATGCAAGCTCGCACACAGTACAAAAACAAGGCTGTATTTAACGGAAGAAAACGTGGAATTATTGCACCATCTTCCATATAGTTCCGATCTAAGTCCTAACGATTTCTTTACTTTCCCGAAAATTAAAAACAGACTACGTGGTCAAAGGTTGCAGTCACCAGAAGAAGCAGTTGACGCATTCAAAAATGCCGTTTTGGATCTGCCAGCAAACAAGTGGAATAAGTGCTTAGAAAATTGGTTCGAGCGCATGCAGATGTGTATTAATCTTCGTGGAGAATACAAAACAATAAAGTCATTTAAAACTACCTACCGTGTTTTTTATTTCAATATGCAAAACTTAAAAGACATCCCTCATATTAGACTATTAGAGCAAAGTAGGATGATAACCGATCGTGTTTATCAAGAATAGTGAAATAAAGTGCATTGTGACTATCTTCCTATAACACGAAAATTCGGAAAATGAGTCATTCAAACAATCCGATGTTAAAATAATAAGGGTAGAATATCAACATTCTGGAACATTTTTCTACAGAAACTCATATAGTGAAACTGATTTTCGTAAATTTGAGGCAGATAAAAAATCTTATAGAAGATCTAAGAAAAACGAAGCAACAAAAAGAGGTCCTAGAGTTAATATGAATATAGCATACATATGTAACATTCCCATTTCCGAGAAAAAGAAAAGCGCCTTACTTAATTTAGTAAAAAAATATAATATCCTCATACTATGAGGGATTTTACAGTAATTTGTAACCAATTAGTTAGCCTTTAAAATGTTAGTTGTGTAGCATTGGTTAGTAATACTAAAATAAATTTTCCCTTTTCGTTCTGTAACCACGAATTATTTGTTATGTATTTTTTAGAAATGCATTATTTTTTTTAGGAATAATGACACATTCCTGTAAAGTTGCAAAAAGTAGGAAAATGGGATATTTTTGAAAACATACTGATCTTGAATCTGAAAGTTCAATAAACCCTATTTAATTGATATTTTTTCCAAATCCAAGTTATTAACTTTATCTTCAGTTATCCGAAATTGTTCTTCAAAAAATATTAAAAATGCCTCTCCTATAATGGAGCATATCTAAACGCGTACTATATCTCGGATATATCCGCTGTTTCGCCTATCTTGGCAATATCAAATAAACAGCGGCAGTAGGGCACGGACGTGTTGTTTTGCTCCTCATTAATTCCGTTGTTTTTGAAGGATGTCTATTTCAAATTTACCTTTTTCCGCAACATAGTTTGTTATTGTTGATCAATCAAAGGTGATCATTTACATTTTACGAGCAGGTACAAAATGGTGTCTTTTTTCCAGCCTTGTAATTATCTCAAGAAAAAACTAAGTGCACCGATTTTCGTTAGTTTTTTCGAACAACTATAAATTTGGAAAAATAGATTAATTATATAAACTGCATGTATAACACAATTCAGTACCGCAACTTCTTTCTAATTTAACCACCATTGTAAGTCGTAAGTGTTCCAAAGAGCCAGTGCTACTGCATCTTCATCAAAACATCCCGTTCTGATCTGATCCACTTCATTGAATTATAATTTTTGGTTTGAAATGGGCTGTTCTACCACCTACAGATGTATTTTATTGCTAGATAACAAAAAGTGAAAATTGAAAAAATAGCAATTCTTAGATCGAATTATTTAATATAATAAATAATATTCTCGAAGTTTAAAAACGTTCTCTCCAAAAACTATAGCAATTCCCAGTTACATTGGAATCCGTTGTCTCCTTTTGAAGCAAATATACGCAATTTTTTTATTTACCGATACAAACAGAACAATATTTATATAAAGCTAAGTTTGAAAAATAAGAGTGAGAAAAACTGTGACCATTTTTGACCACTATTTCTAGCAAAATTACAAGCTACTGGCTGATGAAGTTTAGTGCATTTGAATTAGCGCATGTTCACCTTATTTTTCCATATAGTCGCGTCCGTCCTTTTAATTTAGCACCTAAAAATTAATTTAGGCCTCCTCTGATCGTTTGATCCCACACATAAACCCTTATTTTTGTATTTTTCATTCCTGATACCCTGATATGATTTTTATTTTTTTCAGCAATATAATCTGGTATCCAACTCCATCACAACCTGATGAGTCTCCACAACACTTGAGCGACTGGGTGAAGCATTTCAATGTTAATTTAGCTTATTTAACTCTTTATTACACGCAGAGAATCAGATCTTTATTTATCAGTTGTTAATCCAACTACATAATGTATTCGATGTTGTATTCTACGCATTTTCTATTTACTTTCATCAGAATAATATTTATGTTATACCGTGATAAATTTTTATTTTTGTTGTTTTTTTTTATATTATTTGTGATAATATTAGTAGGATTAAGTTTTTGTGTCATCGCTGTCAGCGAGTCTTTATGGTGGCATTTTGTAACGAACATTTTTGTTACATACCTGTTAAATTAATAATTGAGTTTAATAAAGTTCGATCTTAAAAAAGTAGTTCTTCCTTTCCTTATCCCCCAGCTACTAAAACATGCGCCGCATTTAAAAAAAAATACTTGAAACGTCGTCTTTCTTTTGATACAATTTTTGAAATTGGCGATAAAACTCGTATAGGAAAAGTAACTAAGGTCATTTATCGTCATTTTGAGAATTTTTCGCCTTATCGTGTGATTCCTGAGGTTCAGTTCGGCTTTTTTACCGAGCTACACGCAGTCATGCTGGTGGTACGTGTAACCAGAGGATTTACCCTCGACGTGAGAACTGGCATCTCCCAACTAACAATTATCACTCCTATCAGAGATGCAATAATGATTTTACAGTATTCCTTACACAGCACTGTATACTGTAAGAACATTGGCAAAACCCTCTTAGGCTGAAAACATAGTGGAGCGGCGAGATGAGCGACGAGGAGAGCAGAGAGCAGAGCGGCGATTGAGTGTCGCGGTGATAAAAGAGATGCCTGCACATAGTAGCGCGATCAAAACAGAGAGATGGATCTGTTGTTAGCAGAAAATTCTTCTCTGAAAATTTGGTATTTTCTGAAAAATAGGAAGAGAAGTTGTAGTGTTCATGAAATAAATAAAAGTAGGCATGTACATGGTGAATTTCATCACCTGTATGAAGAACTAAGGCAGCATCCCGAGAAGTTTAAGTCTTATTTCCGAATGAGTATTGTAACCTTTGATTATATTGTGAAGAAAATTCAGCATAAGTTAGTAAAAAGTTGGACCAACTTTAATTGTAACCCTATTAGCCCAACAGAACGAGTTGCACTGACCTTAAGGTAAGTAAACGTGCACACTTTCAATTTTATATTTTATTCAGAACGAAAACCCAAACTAAAATGAAAGCACAAACATTACTCATATAGCTGTACCTATGTGAAAATATTAAAAATCATTAAGAGATTCTTCGGAAAAACTGGTCAAATAAGATCCAACTGATGCAGGATTCGAGGAGACCCTTAGAGGCTGCAAATCAATTATTTGGGATGAATTTACTTCATATACATCATGCATATTTTGAGCTTGATGATTACTTTGCCTTTGAGTAGCTTGACTAGGCGGCTGATCATTGTAAATAAAGTTATAAACAAGTTCCTGAATTCTCATTCTTAATAACATTTTTCTTTGTGGGGTGAGCGGGCGAATGTGTGGTAGAAGGCTGTCAAAAAAGCAATCGTCTTCATCAAGGGTTTTTTTCTCTTTTTCTAGAATCCTGAGTTTTTGTTCTTCTAATCTTATAAGTGCAGCACCAACATCTGTGTCATTTTGGTTCTTTCGTTTTAATTTGTTAACAGTAGGTGTGATAGTTAAACTGCTTTTGTTTTGAGACGAATCGTTCGTCAGTGGTAATTTATCGGCATAAGTAGAATCATCCAAGTTTGGCTTATTTGGTTCTGATCGGTGTTCTGATAACTGGGTGTTTGTTTCTTCATCCAGAATATTGATGTTTTGCTCAGTTTCGGGCAAATTTCCGGTGCTTACTCGGGCAGTAAATTGGTCTTTTAAAAAATAAAGACTATCAAAATATTGCCAAGATGATGTCCAAGAGGATGCCTCATCCCCCGATCGTTGTACTGGCTTTTTTTTAAGTTCTTTGCGAAATGTGTCTCGCAAGTTTTTCCATTTTGTCCTCACGATACTCCCTGAAATGAGAAAATATTTTTACCAGAATTTAAGCTTGAAGAAGTTTTTTTTTCAGGTTTTTGGCAACGGGATCATCTTTTAAAACTCTTAGTTTTACTTTTCGAATGGGTGCTACGACCGTGTCATCAATTGTGCGAGAAACAGTAAAAGCTATGTGGGACATATTACAACCTCTGCATATGAAACTTCCTACCGAAAATGACTTCAAGAACACTGCAAAAGAATTCTACGAAAAATGGAATTTTCCCAATTGTCTGGGGGCAATTGACGGAAAACATATTCGTGTGAAATGTCCTCCTCACTCTGGAACTATGTACTATAATTACAAAAACTTCTTTTCTATTGTTCTCCAAGCTGTTACTGATGCAAATTATAGATTTATAACGATTGATGTTGGAGGGTATGGCAAGCAGAGTGACGGGGGTACATTCCGATCCTCATCTCTATTTCATCTGATTGAGAGTAAACGTCTAAATATTCCTGAAGATGGTACATTACCGCTCACTATGATCACTGTACCCTATGTTTTTATCGGAGATGAAGCCTATCCTTTATTAAATAATCTAATGAAACCTTTTAATAGAAGAAATTTAGATGCAGAAAAAGAATATTACAATATGCGCCTTTCACGTGCAAGACGTGTAGTAGAGTGTGCTTTTGGAATCATCAGTGCCAAGTTTCGTATTCTTTTCAAGCCCATAGAAGCCTCTCCAGACTTAGCAGATGATATTATTAAGTGTATCTGTATTCTACACAATACAATAATTGATATAGAGGGCATTCCAATTCAAGATGAACAATTTTTGTCCCAATCCGAGTCTCAATGTAATAACTCGGACGTTGTGCGAGCAAATAATAGGCCAACAGCATCTGCCACTTTTATTAGAGAGACGTATAAAAATTACGTATGTAGAAATAAAATTTAAAAATATATACTCACTTGTTGTTTTCATTTCTTCGGCCACAGCATCCCACAGTTTATCCAAAACAAAGCGGTTATGGTGCTGAGAGTCTTTCTGATCCCATAGGGGATTTTTAACAAAAACACTAGTAATAAATGCATCAACATCCATTTTTAATACACAGTATTTCCGCAGCGAGGAGAGCAGAGAAAACAAATCTGCTTGGTCTCGCCGCTATCCTCTCTTATAGCAACGCAGTTACCTCGCTTGAGCTCGCCTCACTATGTTATACTCGATTGGAACTATTGCTTTTGTTTTCGCCGCTCTCCTCTCTGCTCTGCTCGTCGCTCTTCTCACCGCTCCACTATGTGTTCAGCCTTAGAACACCTATACAAGCGGAATGGGCACACCTAATAGGACACATCAGTCATTTAAGAGATTGTATAAGGGCTGCAGGTAACAGTTATACTATTGCGTCAGTGCAAGATTCAGTTTTTGTCAACTATACAACTATTCTGTTACGTGATTCTACTTTATTGCAACCAAACTATTTCTTATGTATTGTATAGACGAAGTTGAAGAATATATAACTGACACATTACAGTCATCTTGTTTACTTACATATCGGCCATTGTGAATTTCATACACAGGTATATGATAAACTTCTACACTGTGATATAGGGCTATTGAATTACTTGCGCAGCAAATTTTATTGTGATTATCGTGCAAAGTAGTTACGCTATTTCTACGGGCTTCATATTTGATTCATATTTTGATAATGATCAAAAGTATGTCTAGATTTTTAAGATGGTAAATTGAACTTATCTGCGTTAAATCTTCCACAAATCCTATATTTAGACACAATTACACTAATGTTTATCACTTTATAACTGTAATTTCGAACTGAAACATAATTATTTAATATATTAAATAGAGGAATACATGTTTGCCCAATATGGCGGGTGGTTGTGTATAATCATGGCAGCGTCCATGTTGTCTTTAGTTTATTAGAATATTTTGGTGTTGCCTGCAGTGGTTATACAACAATTTGACAAATGTCTGAAATGAAATACCGACAAAGTCGAATGATTTACCCAGAATTTGTACCAGATCTATATCTTCCGTTTGAACAGTTGATAAAACCTTTTGAACCAATATGCATGCGTTGTTTGTCTTAAAACATTGGTTATGGCATTTAACAAAAATATGACAGCAGAAAGATAGGTTATAGTGAAGTTGTATACCAACATATTTAGCATATGAACAGCCTTTAACAGTTACTAAACAACAGTTGTATAAGTGCTTCCGTTGGGAGCAATTTGTTGGCTAAAGTAGTAAATTGCACAGCAAAACAACAAGGCTCCGGTTTGTTTTATAAACGTTACCATGGATGCCACAACACAACCATTTTGACTAACGTGCAAATATGCCGTATAAAATAGTTGTATAAACGTTTATGCAACAGGTAAAAACTTGTCCTATAAGGTGTTGTATAACTATGCTATAGGAATATTTTAAACACCTCATTTTAGAGGAAATAAGTTGCATAAAGCAAATTTGTATTCCACACAACATTAAGCCAGGATTTTGGTGTTCAGGCAACAACAATAGAGAGCTTTTATGGCTGAACGGTACTTTTACCAAAAGCTTAGAACAATACTTCGCTAGTTGGGCTTGCTTTTGGGGGTCTCAAAAGCCTTTGAGGTGTGGCACGCGGGCCCCTATAAACGAATCCAAAAGGGTTTTCCTAGTTGGCTTCTAAAGCTACTGAAATCCAGCCAACGTTTTGTCGACAATATGGTCAGTACAGGCCGGTGTTCCTCAAGGTTCGTTCCAAGGACCAGTCCTTTGCTATCCATTGTCTGCCACAGTAACTTTGAAGTTTATCTCCACGCTTAAGACACTGCATTGGTTGCCCAGTCGTGAACTGGTAATCTGGTTGATGACAAGGTGCAATTGAGGATGTATTAAAATAGGCGGAACGGTGGTTGAAAACAGGCAATTTATTGTACCAAAACACGCCGCGCCCCCCCACCCGATGTTTCGGTAGACATGGAAAAAATTGGATTTGGAAAAATTCTGTCAACTGCCTTGGGGATCAACTTTGATAAATTATTGACCTGGTAGAATCATGCAGCAGCGTTGAAAACAAAATTCGAAATTACGTTCTGGTAACTATATTCTTTGTTATGCAGATCCTCCAAATTAAGTTTGATAAACAAAGTTCAACTATACAAAATGATTATTAGTCCAGCCATTTCTTATGCATGTGCAGCTGGGTGTTTTCTTGCCAAGACACAAATGCAAAGTCTTCCAATACTCCAGAGTAGGACTACGAATAGTTGCCATGCCCCTTGCTATGACTCAAATGAGACACTACACAGAGACCTCGACATTCTTTACTTCAGTTATAGTCAAGCAGAATCGCACACCAATCTATGTTGGG